GTGATACTAGTTTCCTAATATTGATGTTCATTGTAAGGATATGTCAAACCCTTTTGAATCTCTATCTAAAAGAGCTCCTATAGAGTGAGAGAAAAGTGAGGTTCCAACATATAAAGATACGGTGGTCCATGTCTAGCTGATATAGGACTCCAGCAGCCATGTTCTGAATTATAAATCATGTCGTTGTTTTTGTGCAGGGACAAAGTTGAAGGACTTTGTGGCTGCAATGCAGTCGAGTACCTTCCAATCGGAGCTCTCAAAGCTCCGCCATGATGTGGAGGAGTATGCCAAACAATTCCCAACAATTGGGTTCGAGAAAGAAACCATGAAATACAAAAACTAAGGAGTCATACAAGCCAGGTATGGATTTGAAACGACTTTGTTTCACTATATAACTTGAATAAATTCATCTTAATCTCGTGATTGACAAAAGTCGAAGACTCTTACCTTTGATTTATTCAAACAAATATACAAGTGAACTTCTAGTCCATAATCTATTCATTTTTACAATTGCCTTCAACTTTTGAATGTGAATTTGAACTCACCTTGCATCTCCCTTGGTTCGTAGGCAACATCAAACGCAAATTTCATCTCGCTTACAATGTCGCACAAATCTGTTATTTGGATCGGATCTCCTTTTTGTTTCCAAACTTAAACTTTTGTCCTCTAAATGTGTCTTTTGAAATATGTTATCCTCTAAATGAACGATTACATGTGAATTCATTGAAAACACACTCAACCTTCTCAGGCAAAACATTGTGAAGGTACAAAAACAAACCTTCACTGTGTTTTTTTTTTTTGTGTGAACGTTTGGTATATTTTTGTACATTCACAATGTTTTGTTGTGGAAGTTTAATGTTATTTTGTGGTCTTATAAAAACAAGTCGGTCTTACGTGATTTCAAGTCTTTCTTTATCTATTTGTTTATGTTTTGATGATTGTGACCGCAGGGAATAAACACGGGGATTGAGATAATGATTATGGCGTGGAACGTGGACGTGAATTTAAGTGGATATTTCCATTCGGAAGTATGGAGCCATAATTATCAAATAAGAATATGAATGTAAAGCTAGTTGAATCTTGATTTATCTATATATGTAAATCAACGAAGGTTTTCTATTAACCAATAGAACTTTCTATTTGGTTCTATTCAATAACAGTCTCGTCTTTAATAATTATAATATAATAATTAAAAAATCGATCATGAATTATATAAAAATAAATAAAATATATAAAATTATATGATCCATGAGAATCTGATTTATACCATTTTTACATGGATAATGATTATTTGATTAATGGTCATACTTGATCTTGTGAAAGTACGTAATTTGCAACCAGTAGTTTTTCAACAAATTTACTTTTATTTAGTAAGATAGTTTTTATCGATAAAATATGTTCTGTTTCTTGATTAAGTATTTTTTTTTTAGTGACTGTGAGAATGACCAACATCAACTAACTTAAAACGAGTTATCAAAGGGCCTTTGGCTTAGCGGTATCGTAGTCCTTGGCCTTCTAGGAGGTCATGGGTTCAAACCTCACCATAGATGAGGAGGGTGTGTGAGTTTATTTGTTGCATTTGCCGTATATAAATATTATATATACTTCAAAAAAAAAAAAACTTAAAACGATCATAAAAAATAGCTTGGAGTCACGATGTTTATTAGGTCATCATAATCAAGGGCACGAAAAATAGCATTATAAAAATATAGGGGCCAAGAACTAAAATTAAGAATACAAATTTAGGTGTTGTCTACTCAAATGATTATCGGGTAAGTGTTTACCTGTAGGAGTCAACACTATAATTTACTTTGATGCGTAAGATTTTAGTACATTAAAAAGTATCAAATGCAACAATTTACCGGATAAACGATTACCTAGGTAAGAGTCGCCATCTTTACTTATCGGGTAAGACTCTCCATTCTTCTCATTGCTCTTACCCGGTAATATTCTTTGCCCTTGTCATGTTCATCCGATGAGGAAATTTATTCGGTAAGTACTTACTAAGTAAGCATTTGATAAACAACCCCTTAATTAAAAGTACACAAACTGGAAAAAAAAATTCGTTGCTAATTCGTTGAGAAAATAACGCGCTATGCTCCCCAATATCTTCATTGCGTTATGTTGTGTGATCGAATTATTATTGACCATGATATCAACAATGTGTAATTAAGGGGGTGTTTGGGATTTCTTATAAAAGCTGTTTTTTAACTTATTTCAGTCTGACACCGGTGATAAGCTGTTTTCTGGTGTTTGGATAAGAAAAAAAACTGCTTATACCGATGCCAAACCGGTAATAAACTGTTTTTGATAAGTTAATCATTCCTGACTTATGAAAAACTGCTTATTACCAGTTTACAATTTTAACCATGTTTTATTTAAATCCGGTTTGATACCACATAAGTTAATAAGCACTTTTACAAAAAATTGTTTTAAATAAGCAGTCTCAAACACCCCCTAAATTATCAGTAAAAAAATAAATAGAAAGTAATTTTTCATACTTGAAATAATAAAATTCTATATTTAGTATTGTCATTGGCAAATTCATTTTAGTTGTAATATTTTCATGGTCTGGACTCTGGAGTATGACAATAAATATCGAGATTTTTCAAGGTTTTCAAGTCAAATTATTCATTTAAAAAATAATATAATAAACAAAAGTTAAAATTTTATTTTAATTAAAAAAATCATACCCTCTATGAATACTAATCTTATACAAATATGCATTTAATATTTCTCTGATACATTAATATCACATTCAGTTTGGTGTCTAACTCTAAAGGGCCGTTTACTAAATGCTTATTCGGCTAAGTGAATATGAAGTTACATTACCTTACCGGATGAATATGTAAGAACCAATAATTTTACCCGGTAAGAGCGAGACATGGACCAAGAGTCTTACTCGGTAAGAGCGAGACATGGACCAAAAGTCTTACCCGGTAAATGAATGCGACGACTCTTACCAGCGCTTACCGGGTAAATTATTGCATATGATACCGTTTTGGTGAACTAAAATCTTATCCGGTAAGTAAATGATAGTGTTAAATTTTACCGGTAAGTGTTTGGTAAACGGTCCCTAATATTCAAAGATTGCAAAGACACAAGTTTGAATTATGGAGGAACATTCTCTTGTAAATGCGACACTTTCGTTGTTTGGAAATTTTTTGACTGATTTATGCATAGGAGACACTCAAATGTACGCGTATATATCCTATATTATAAAACATACCGGTTTTGTCGCTTAAATTTTTTTTACATTTAAGGAATACAAGTGTTGAAAGTAATATGTACCAATCAATAATGCATACAGAATCTTTCAATTTTATTATAATATCTCTATTTTACCCTTTTTGTTAAACAAATAAGATTGAAAATTTGAAATATTTTTGGAAACCCATATCACACGTTTCATATGATTGAATCAAGTTCTAGAAACCCATAGTTGTATCTCAATTTAAAAGAAAATCTATATTTTTTTAAATGTAATTAATATTTTTAAAACAAATTATACAAAAAATAGTATTTTATACACTTTAATTTGATACTTATATATATATATATATAGGGTTTATTTCAAATACAACCTATTACATTTGTACAACCAATGCAACCCAATAAATTGAGATATTTATGGAAATGATGAAAGTTCATTTATTATGATTTAAATATTTATGGAAGATGAATATGATTTATTAATTATGATCAATACTTTATATTATGAAACAATCAAAACTCATATGAAATCACATATTAATCAAATGAAATGGACGATTGAGATTGAGTTGTATTGATTGCACAAATGTCAATGATTGTATAATAACCAACCCCTCCCTCTCTCTCTCTCTCTCTCTCTCTCTATATATATATATATATATAGAGAGAGAGAGAGAGTGAGAGAGAGAAGATCTTTTATTAATCAATAATATGGTTATAACTTTGTCAACTTATTGAACTAATAATATTAATTCCTTAGTAAGGGTTACTTCAAATGTTTGATTTAATGATGAAGGACAAATAGGTAATTTTTATGTATAAATTATTTTTATGATATTTAATGAGATGTTACAAATTTTCATGTGTAAGTTATTTTTATGGTATTTAACGATGTTCATAGGTGTTTATAACATAATATATTCATAAGAATATACTCATATGTGTTCATAAGAATGTGTTTATAACATAAGGTATTTATAAGAATATGTTCATATGTGTTCATAAAATTGTGGGTATAACCATAAGACGTTCATAAGATTAGGTGTTCAATAAAATTTAATGAACATAATCACATTGTCCATAAATGAACTCATGTTTATATAAAGGGAGATGCTCGTGTGTATATTAATGTCCATAATAATAAATTTGTTTTTATTAATGACAATAGATTAATTTTCATATTAATATTAATGTCATTAATGGGGGGTTACAAACTTTATAAATATTTTTCCAATAATACAATTGTTCATGTATGTTCATCTTAGATGATAATGTATTATATTACTAGTTATTATAAAATTGTCATCCATTGATTCACAAGATGAATGGTTGTGATGGGTTTACAGACCGTACAAACCTCATCCAACCAGTCATAAGTTTTCATTCTATTTTTTTTTTTTCTAATATAAGAGGTTGATTAATCATTTTTATTGTGAAGGGTGTTAATCATGGATATTATTATCTTTATTATATTAATTTTAGAGAAATACATAAAACAATTTCATTAAAATTTCATAAGTATTATATGAAACAATTTTATAACCATATATGAAACAAATTCATCAAAAAAAGTATTATATGAAACAATTTCATAAGATCAAACAATAAAATCGACGGATGATGGTGATTTGCACGGTTTATACAATTATGAGTGATATGACGGACCAAAAAACATAACTACTTGGAAAAGTTTGAGGGGCTTTATTAGATTTTGCAAAAGTTCAAGGGGTTTTCTTAAAAAATATTTTACCCCTTTTGACGAGCACTGACCTGTGTAATGACCATCATGTTTGGCTTCCAATCGGTCGCTTAAATCACACAACACGCAAGAACAAATCATCATCATCATCACCGATTCCCCTGAAGTGGCATCGAGAAATCAAAATCACCGACGTTAGAATGGCTCGAGCTGGAGGAATAACGAATGCAGTAAACGTAGGGATAGCAGTACAAGCTGATTGGGAGAATCGAGAGTTCATTTCTCATATCTCCCTCAACGTTCGTCAACTCTTTGACTTCCTCGTTCAATTCGGTAAATCCACACTTGAGTTTTCGGTTTTTCCTTGACTTAAATGGAGTTTGTAGTGTACTGATTGTGATTTATATGACGAATTTGTCAATTTGCATCGAAGATTTTGCTGCAGAAGTTCGTCCTTTTTCCTTTTTCAGATTTGTGTTGTTGATGTTGACATTTTACTTGGATTCGATGGAGATAAACATGGAACGGCCATAAAATTTTGGTGCTTTTTGTGTAAATTGTGTGGTTTGAAGTTAAGAAGTTTGATTTTTTTAGTTGAGCTTTTTTGGGGGCGACGCGGGTGGATGCTCCAGTTGTTCTGTTATAGAATGTGGCCAATATGGAATGCCCATATTCTCTCATTCCACATTGGTATCAACCTTTATGCATTAGGTTTGTTCCCAAAAAAGGAGGCCACACAATGTACACAACTTTGCCTTTGATGATTATGTGCAGCCCTAGTCAAAGCAAATTCTAGGAAGTGAACTAAATTGTGAGTCAAATGCTTCAAATAGTATAAGAATTAAACGGTATCATTATTTGATATTTTTGGAGCACCAAATTTTTATGCATTTTCTGGTTGTGTTGACAAGTGGCGTGGACTGCTTATACGTGGTGTGTGAAGTAGGATATGCTAGAACTTTGGATTTAATTGCTCTTGTGCATTTACGAAATATGTTTTCTGTTTCAGAGGCTACAACAAAGAGCAAATTGGCATCTCTGAATGAGAAACTTGATACGCTAGAGCGTCGTCTAGAAATGCTTGAAGTACAAGTGGGTACTGCTACAGCCAATCCAAATTTATTCAAGACCTGATTTTACTAGACTGGCATTGTAAGAAAAAGAGTGAAGGCCACCTGTCTTCCAGATTGTGAGCTGATTAGCTTCTTCAAAATCCAGTGTGATACGTATGAAGATCGTTTGCTTACTTTTCGTATATTTATTTATGTAGCTGATCTGTGCATGTTGTAACTGGAAGAGTTCCCTTCTCTTTGTTTTCATATCACTATTTTGGCTTAATGAAGATTTGAATGCAGTTTGTGGTGTCTTTCTTATGTGTATCACTGACCAAATGAACACCAATAAATCAACAAGTATAATTCTAAGTCTACCTTATTATGTTGTTGGATTGTTTATCCAAATATTTCACATTTTGCTTCATTAAGTTCCATCTTCTCCATCCATGTCTGATATAGATAAATAAAATCTTATTGCTTTATTGAGGATTCAAGAATAACTGACTTTCCATGATATTTTTCTATGACAGTTGCTAGGACATCAATAAAATTAATACTATGACATAATCATCATCTTAGTTGAGCAACTTCTGGATCATGTACAAGTTGCGTCTTAAGAGATCCATCAAATATGTATACATGAAAGTTGCATCTATGGAATCCTGATGGTGCTTGTGGATGCTCTCTTCCATACACAAGTTTCCTCTAGGGTTACTGAGTGATACCTACGTGTTGAGAGTGAGGATAAAGCTTCGAAGAGCACTAGTATTGCATTAGTTTTCTGCAATATTAGACCATTAGTTTATGAGTGTTTCAATAGTTGTCATGTCGAAAGCATGATCTTTGGGATAGACCGAGGTATAAGAGTTATTAGGGATTGAAATGGGGTCGTGAGTATAAGCAATGGTGAATGCTTCTGCTGTAAATCTGAAAACTATACATGTGCTTATCTGAACATTGGCATCAGAGACGTATACATTGTTTACAGAACTTCCAAAGCACCAACTGCTGTACTCAGATTCGACTACGAAAAACCATATATGTTGTTTGAACTTGGAATTTGACAAAAGAAAATGGAAAATTCAGTTTATATGATATGACAATGTCCTTTCCTTGTAACTGTATGCTATGGAAGAAATTCATCATGATGGTAGTAGAGTTGTATCTAGACAGCTGATAACATTTAGCTATTCGTTAAACACTTGTAGAGCTGGAAGAATGGCGTAAATTTGCATGTCAAGGAGCTGCCACGGAATGGTTCAATCAGGGTCTAGGTCATGCATATTTTGAGATTATCTACTGAAGATTTTTTCAATTATAAGTATTAATCATTCACTTTTATATGATGTTTTTAAAAGCTGTTAATGACTTGTATCCTTATTTAATCCTTAAACCATTCATTTGTAGTGTTTGATAACCAACAAGTTGCAGTGATTAGAGATTAATGAATTCAGATCATGGCTTAATGCTTGTGATTGTGCATTGTAGTGAGTTGGTATGCTGCAGGAGCTGCATAGAGCAGCATATGTATATTAAATATTAATACACATATATGTCCCAAAACCATTTTGGACAAAGGATAATTTTTTTGTAGTTGTCAATCCATGTGTGGAAACTTTTTTGAAATTTAATCCTTGTATATGCCAGGAGTTTTGGTCAACAGTTCTTGAGGTTAAGTGAACTCCAATTGTTATTGCTCCAAGCTACTGCTGATGTTAAATCTATACAGTAATTTATGACCTTCAATATCTTTTGAGCCAAAATTGACCAATTAAAACTTCTAGTGTTTGCAAGCATACTGAAATTCACTCAACTTAAGTCAAGTTCAATCACAAGCTCGGTGGAAGAGAAAGAATAAGAGAATAGGAAAGGCTTTATCGGTATGCACCTTCATATTTATATCCACCTTTTGTAAGTTAACCTTCTTATCTATATTGTAAACGATAAACAGGGTAATGAATTTTTTTTTTTGAAGTATATAATATTTATATACGGCAAATGCAACAAATAAATTCACACACCCTCCTCACCGTGAGGTTTGAACCCTTGACCTCCTAGGAGGCCAAGGACTACGATACCGCTAGGCCGAAGGCCCTTTGGTTAATGAAATATTCTTCCGAGGCTTATAGGAGTCATAGACCCAAAGAGAGTAGCTGGGCTTACTGCTATACACCAAAATTTGTAATTTGGCCTACCCATCATACAGTTTTTGTACTTTTCTCTCTTCTTCCTCTCTTACTATATTGTTAAGAATCCTGAAATCTGTTGAACATTATATACATACATATGTAATTCTTGAGTGCATAGAAGTTAATTCAAGTATGCAAAGAGTGAAGTTGAAATCACAATGTATATGCTGAAGGTTATGATGAGTCTTAAGAGGATTTTGTTAAAAATGATACCTGACTTGGTTGGTTGATTTAGTTTTGTATCATTTGAAGTGTAAATGTAGGCCAGTTATATCTGCTTTTTTTATTCATCTATTTTAAGCTCTTGTGGTGTTTGGTGCTTTTAACCTTAATGTATGTATTATGCTTATTTTGCCATTTTCTTGGTCAAAGAGGAACTCCCTAATTAATTTAAGGCTTGCCATTTGTCATTCTCTTGTGTTCGCTACTCTTTTTTAGACTTCATTCAGCTGCTTTTCTGTTCTTTTCTTATCTGAGTTTCATACAGTCTTATCAATTTGTAGAGGTTCACTTTGTTAATACTCCCAATACAATTTTTTGGCTTTTCCATATCATATCCAGGATATTACATTTTGCAATATAAAAGTTAATAAATATTATAAAAACAAAATGTATACATCGCCTTTTACAAGATTTAAGTATAGGCTGTGAGAATCTTAGGCTCTCGATCATGCATCCTTACACTGGGAGGTATAACTTGGACGGTTAGCTGATTGGGGTTCTGTTTCTTTTTGGTGATGTTTCCTTTTATGTCAAACTTTTGCTACTCCCTGATGTTCTTTCTTCTGTATATCAACCTTATGGGATCTTTATCTATTGTTGAAAGCATTTTGTGTTCTTTCTCAAGTTGAAGCAAACCTTATAAACTACCCTCTTTCTGTGTTCGGTTCGGAGTTCTGGTGTACAAATATTTTGATAAATAGGGGGCATATGGATGAGTAGTCATTGACAAAAACCTAAATTTTCTGAAATATGCCCTCTTCATATACCTTACTGCTAGTGCAATAGCTGGAATTATGCGGTACAGGTTCATGACTTTATAACCCTATGCTAAAATGTTTGATTTTATCTCTGGTGAAATTTACTAGATTGAAATCAACTGAGATTGAGCAGTTGTACAAAGAAAATTGAGAAATTTAACATATTTACTTAATATTATATATCATGTGTTGCTGCTCAGGCAATCATCTGCTACATTAGACAGAAGCTTTCCCACAAATTTATCTTGGTTGCGGAGGAGCAGGTTGTGAAAAGAGAGAGGATGGTTCTGATTGAGTTGGAGTTGGTAAAGGCAAAATCACAATTGGTCTCTCGATGGAGAAGCGATTGGACCCTCCAAAGCTGTCTATGGATCTCATATATTCAGATGCATTGTTTTCAATTATCAAAGCATCCTCTAGCTCGCGGACAATGTCTATCATGGACGGTCTATAAGCTGAGAAGGGCTCAATACATGCTAATGCTACTTCCACAACTCTCCACATTGCCTCTGTGTGATATCCTCCTTTTATGCTTGGATCCACTATTTCATCGATTCTCGAGTTCCTTATATAAGGTTTTGCCTGCATACGCAATGGTGGTTTCATGTCTAGGTTAAAGTAGGGAACATGAAATTCAATAAACTATAAAAAGAAATTTAGTATGCCTTTTGGTAGAGACACTGACATGGGTAGTTATAATCTATTACAGTTAATACATAAACTAAGATAGCTACATGTTTTTAGATGAACATCTGCAAGTAAATTGCAAAATTTGATTCTGAACAAAGATGTTGACTCTGATTTAAGTGTGTAAATGTAGGCAATTATGCAAAGAATTGCGATACCAGGCATACTCATTGTTTAGTCTTTCTTCATTAACATGAGAGATATGTGCATATTTAATGCAGCTTTATTTAATGTGGAGATGTATGATGTTAAGTCTACATCCTTGGACATCGTGGCAGAAATAGAACTACTTATGCAGAGATTTTGGTATGACATTTAGTTAAGTTTGAAAATTAAGCTTACCCATTCAACCAAGCTCCACTCATTCCGTGGCCTGTGTATATTAAGAGGCTCTCGACCAGTTATCATTTCAAGCAGCACAACTCCATAGCTAAAGACATCACTCTTGGCAGACAAATGCTGGGTTGAATAATACCTGAAAAGCAAAGAGTTTTAGTTTGTAAACATTTAAAATATGGCAAACTCATCAATATATTAAGAGCCTTGGAAAGTTATATTCAGTAGAGATGTAAGAAGTCTTTTGGTACATGCTCATGGTACTTCTTTACGATAATTGTATGAAGATATGTTTTGCAGGCCGGGTGTCTTCACAGAAACAACTGATCTACTCTCTAGGGTAGAGGACAGGTCTGTGCACATCCCCCCCCCCCCCCCCCCTGTCCCCATCTTCAAGTGGGATTAATGGGCTTCTTCGGTTAGGGTTTTATGTATTTTGACTTTTGAACCAATTACTGAAGCTTTTTAGTTGATTATTTTTTTTATTACAATGTCAATGTTCAGGTTCTGCATGGTGTTGACTTGGAGCCATCTTGCCTACTCCTTCGATTGATGTATTGTACACACCCAGTTCAGTTTCCCCTTGAACAAGGTGCACCTTGCTTCTGTCTTTCTACGTAGGAGCGATGGTAAATCATATATGATTGTTAGAGCATCAAAATAATCAATGAATCAAATACACAAAAAACTTGTGTCCCTTTTTAAATTTTAATATTTTCTCTTCCATCATGAGTCTTTATTTATTTAAACTTTCACTTCATTGTTGGTCAACTTAATTGTAATTAACAGTAAGCTTCTTTGATTTTGAAACTTATACTCACTCTGGATCCAAGTATCCAGCCGTTCCCCTTACTTCTAGGGAGGCACCACTATCTCCTTCTTGAGGTGCATATTTTGAGAAGCCAAAGTCTGCGACCTTGGCACACATGCTATTGTCTAGGAGTATGTTACTTGATTTCACATCCCTGTGTATGACAGAACGCCCAGAGAATGTATGAAGATAGGTCAAACCTGGAGCATGAAACTGTGTATTAGTTTTATGCATGATGAAAAAAATCAAGGATCATAATTTCATAGCATGTGTGGAGGTGACAAGAGATCTAGAAGTAGGTGACAAGTTTTGAGCTTCTGGTGTAAAATACAAAATTAAGTGGGCATACATCTTAATGGTTCTATAGGCAGTAACTTCAATATTTTCTGCGTGTTACTTGCCTGATATCATACTCTAATCCCATATTTCATCCTTTCTGGCCTGGTCATTAGTACTTCCATGGCACTGGCTCATTTCCTGATATAACTTGCAAGACCTAATTGATGCTTCTTTATAGTGATCGATCCTCCTTTATAGTTTTTATGTATAATGATTGCATAGCTGTATATATTTGTTTTTCTTGAAGTTACTATCTAAATTGGTTATGTTTAATTTCACCCTAATATTGCTGTTTGCTTTAACAAATTTGTGCTGTATTTGGGTAGAATTTAGGTTAAAAAAATTAGTACAATGATAGATTAGTGTCATGTTACATCAACCATGCTACTATAGGATTTGGTATGGAAGTCAAACACTACTCAGTCTACACTTATTTGTATACCCTGTTCTCCCTAGTTTCGGACTATCGGCATCACTAAAGAAGTTAGGGTTAAGAAAAGTGGTGATTTCATATCAAATATGCTAAAAGCTATTTACTTTTTCCAACATTTAAAATACTGTATGTGGCTGCCTCTGGTGTAGTCTTTTCAGAATGCGACTTTGGTAGAAGTTAAAAAGTTAGCTTCTATACTAGAAATTGGCTTTTTCTGAAAGTTGGCTTTAATTAATAAATGGGTATGGTCATTTGTTCTAATTTGTTAGCTTTCATGATATGATGATTTAGTTAGAACGTAACCAAGTTTATGTAGCAAAATACGGCATTGGCACCCTTGAAAAATGGCATGGCTTATGTTATTTCAGTTACAAGAAAATATGAGAATATCCATTCATACAAAATTATGCACATAGATATTTTTCTTATCATAATATTTCACCTACAAATAAATTTAAATACATGTATTAAAATATAACAGTTTAATCTTTCTTTACCAGTCTGGGCTATTTATTTATGGCGAGATTAATTGTTTATGGACTTAAAACAATAACGGGCATATAGTCATTCTTTATCATTTACTGACTAAGTTTTGTCAAGTGTGGAACTCCGTTTGTAGCTTCTCAAATTTTGACGAGTTTTTTCTTGAAAATTTTCATAGTTGTGGTCAAAAGAAGAGGCAGCCTAAAAAGTTGTTTTTCTGATACAAAATCCTCATGCATAGTCTTGTAAAAGTAGCCAGCTCACTAATGATAGAGATTTAACTTACCTCGAGCAGATCCTAAAGCTATGGAAAGTCTGGTCGGCCAGTCTAGAGCTCGTCGTTTAGATGCATCACCTGTTAAGAAACAATGAAGCACGTAAAAATGGTATACAATAATGAAGATGAAATGAAAATAATTTCCCATTTGGAGGAGACATACCATAAAGCCGATCTTGTAGGGATCCATTAGACATAAATGGATAAACAAGAATTTGTTGGTCATTTTCACAGCAATAACCAAGGAGTGGGACCAAGTTTTCGTGCCGAATAGCTGATAGAAGTGTCAGCTGTAGATGGTCATAGTCAGTAGTTATAGTTAGTTACCAAAATGATCACAGTTGAAGGTTGTAGATGGAAGCTAGTAAATGTTACGGAAACAAAGATGATTCGAAAGTCTAACAGGGCATGTGGAAATGCGTTGTTTCTCTTTTTTTCTTTTTAAGTCATGTCCAATTCAGTGGAGGTTGGTCGTTTGACCTTTAACCTTGGAGATCTTTTTATCAAATTTTAGCTGATCCTTGTTTAATTTTTTATGCTAATATGAGTACTGCAAAAAAAAGTTCGTTTGAAGGGGTCAAGAAAGTGAAAAAGTTACTTCACCTCATTGTTGAATTCACGGGTTCCCTGTGTTGAATTGGTTGACCGGACCTTTACGGCTACTTCTTGACCATCTGGTAGAGTACCATGGTATACAGATCCAAAGCCTCCTTCACCGATTAAAGTTTTATACTTCTGTATTGCACTTTCTATCTGTTGAAGTGTAAAGCTTTCTATGGATATCGTCTTTAAAGTGATATCATCCTTGCTGCTTGGCATTGCATAAATTGCATCTGCAGTTTACGTTCGTTATAAAGCAAAGTTTATAGCACAATATTTGTTGATCTCCCCAAAATTTTATTTTATGAAAAATCTTCCTCAAGCAAGATGAATTTTCTTTTGTCAAAATTACAAAAATGTAAATTTGATAAAATGTAAGAAAGAAAATATGTAGGTTAAAATCATTGTTTCGAGTCCATTCATGGCTTCAGGAAGTTGGTTTTGCTGAGTATTACATTCATCTCTGCCCGTATCTTCTATATGTTCTTTCTTTTATCACTTTGTTGCTAGTTTCAGATTATACATAGAAACATATGTTTGAATGTTCTGATCGCGTTTGAAATTCTTAAGTAGGGGAAGTTCAAATGAGGACCATAAATATTTTGAGAAAATGGGAAACAACTACTTCATGTATTATTCATGATGAATAAGCCTAAATATCATGAATATCATGCATTTTCATGATGAATAATTTTCATAATGATATTCCTCGTGACTAAAGTATGAATAGTTAGTTCCCAAGTTGAGAAAATATTTACAGTTCGCATTTGCACCTACCCCTACTTAAACTAATTTCTTCTGGCATCTTAGATTGTATAAATATTTAAAAGAATATCGTACTCACTCTTGGTCATTGTAGGTCTTTTCCTTTCTGATCCTTTGTTGGTCATCTTTCTTTTCTTGTACAAGCAAATCAGGATAGCAAGTACTCCAATTAATAAAAGGACTGCACCTGCAATTGCCGCTATAAAAACTTTGGGTGCTGGATGTGATGATTTTTGTCCCATGCACATTCCATAGCTGAAACAGAACTTGTAAGCATTATATAGCCTCTACTTTTATTCAATTGTATGTTTTGAATGACATGTATGCATATATATATACACACATCCTTAGAGTTCTTGATGTGTAATGATTTCTTAAATTTCATAATTGAAGTCCTTACTCTGTAGCAAGTCTGGATGACCTTTGACGTTTAGGGAGTTCTTTATCGAAATCTCTATTGCAGCCATAGTATCTAGATGAAGATATAAACACCCATTAGTTGCATTAATTAATGCTTAATTGATATTATAATTTGCATCAAACTGATTAGAGAACTCACAACTGTGTCAAGTGTGGAAGGGAGGTAAGTGAGTCTGGAATCCGTCCCTTGAAATCATTGTTTCGTAGGTCCCTAAAAAATGTATTGGAATCAATTACCATTGTGGGTAATCATTTTTGTTCCAAATTAAATGCTTCTGCTAAACAGCTTATAATAATAATTAATTGCTCAATTCGAAAGGAAAGAAGGATACATTGAGGCAAGAACGGAAGAATATGGGAATGTGGGAATACTGTCGATGAAGTGATTATTGCTGACGTTCCTGTAGTTCACAATTTAGAGGTAAGCAATTAACATGTTTGACTTCTGGGAGTTCAATAATTTTGTCAAAAAAAAAACAAGTGACTGAGGACAGTAGCGTAACTTACAGTTCTATAAGGTGAGTCAGCTTAGTAATGCCCTGTGTTAGCGGTCCTTGAAATTTGTGGTTCGATAGATCCCTGCAGGATATATTACAATGGGTAAGCACATGATCATAATTTAAGCCGTGTCCATGCTAATACTCCCTCTGTCCCAAAATAAGTGTCCACTTTCAAAAGTAAGTGTTTACTTTCCAATTACATCCTTAATTATGAGATGAGGAATTCTTTACACCTTTATCATTAAGGGCAAAATTGACATTTAGTTAATTAAAAATTATAATTACACATTTTTAAAATTGTGTGCCTTTTTCATTGTGGACATTTATTTTTGGGATGGAGGTAGTGTGAACTAGGGATAACATTAGAAGTTATGAACAGAAACACAACTCATGCAAAGAAAAACTCACAGCTTAGTTATGACCGTTGTTCCATTGGATTGCTTGCACTTCAGGCCATACCAGCTATGTGGGAGACACGGGTCGCCTGTCCAACTTTCTAATACCTGATTATCTTGGTTCTCCACCAACAACTCGTCTCTTATGTTCACCATTGCATCCACTAGAAGAGTTTTTTAATTGGTTAATGAACTAATTCTCGTGTTAAGGGCATATGGTCCATTTTGGTATGCGGGACGAGACAGGAGAAAAACTTGTCCCATGTTTTGTGTGACATTAGACTGGGACAGGACTCAGACAAAAATGCACTTTGGGTGGAACGGAGATCAGGGAGATGGGACAAAATTGGTAAATTACTAAACTACCCATGTCAAATTAAAACCCTAAAACCTTGCGCAATTCTTTCACTCGCCTATCTCACTCTGTCATTCATTCTTGTCTCTTCCAGTCCTATCCTGTCCCGTCTGCATACCAAACGCACCCATATGGGACTTCACATATAGGAGGTACATATGGTGAGTTAAAATTACCATCTTTTTGATCAGTAGCTTGAAGCAATGGATAAACTTGCAAAATTTCATAAGCATTACAAATTGGACCCAACTGAGATCCATTGGAAGCTTTTCTTATGGTCAAATTAAGAAACTTGTTTGCTGTGAAGTGCATAACAGTAGTCCTATAGTTGGAATCGCTAGATATTACATCGATCTGCTGCCGCTTTTCATCATTGATATATATATCGAAGACCCGTTGCCCAGCTTGCACAGAGGCATTAAGTTCAAGAAAATAGAGGTAGAGAATATACTTGTTTCCTGAATTAAGGTTATGCTGAAACTCTAAACGCTCTGGATGGGTTCGAGCTGTTTGTAGCACTTGGATAGGAGGTAACATTTTTGTGCCATTTAGAACAATGATGTTTCTGTTGTCTAGTGACGTGGAGTTGCCATTTTGGTCCAAATCTGAATCGGGTTTCCAGATTCGATCATATGGGTCTTGCGGGAACCTGAAATTGCATATTCAAATATAAAATCATGTCTCTTAAGTCTTAATCACACATGAATATGATAATTTCTTCTTTTTAGTTGGCTGACTACATAGTTTATTTAGGTTTATCATCTGCGAAGGCTTCTTAATTCTGGCATAGCAACTAATGGTACACTTTATTGTTGAGTTCTTTATCGAGTAAAATCACTGGAGAGCTTGTTCTTGACTTGTGATGTAGTAGTAAAGATAGGTTTCTACTATTGGAAATAGATGTAGGCATTAATTTGTCATTAACAGTGGCGTCAAACAATGAACATAGCAGCCATGTCCCTAGTGTTTAAGGCTATGTTTGGCAAACTAGCTGATAAGCTAGTTGTTAGATGATAAGCTAGCTGTTAGATGATAAGCTAGCTATTAGCTTAAAAACTAGATGTTGGCTATAACCTAGCTGTTAGTTGGTAAACTAGTAACGTTTGGTAAAAACTAGCTGATAAGCTAGATGACAATGTAAAATAACCTTGAAAAATACGAGTATAATTGGACAAAAGTGGAAAGAGAACCCTAGAGCTTATTGAAGTAACTTTCCGATAGCTAGCTTTGAAAATGGTTTATAACTATTCAAACGGGGATTTTTCAGTAAGCTCAAAAAATGAGCGAGCTTATGGTTGCCAAACATGGCCTCAATCATACTGATTTAATTTCGCATTACAATCTTTTCATTTATTTAATTATTGTTAGCATTTGGTGATAAATATCTCAATTTTTTGTATTTCTTGTCAGATAAATGCTTAATATGCCCATGTATTGATCTTCTTTATTCAATGTAAAGCTAAGTTATGTGGAGTTGGCTGAATTACAACCATCTTTCCGTATGGAATCCTGTGAGGGCATGTGGATGATTTGAATTTCTTTTCCAATAGGGATTAAAGAAACATAGCATTTCTTATGGGATGTCCCACAACGGAAAACGTTTCAATTCTACCTACATATTGCCTTCAAACAATGTCGACATATATAACATACCTGATTTCTTCTCCTGTGTTCCCGACATCAACTCTATGCACAAGTCTGAGAACATTTGAAGGCTCTCCATTCAGGTAATCTGAATTCAAAGGTCTTAGTTCTATCTTGGAGACATAAGTGTTTCCCTGTTTTTGTAATAAACAGAAGTTTATATAATCATTAGTAGCTCTCACAATCCCCTCAACCTCGGCTTCATCTGTTGAGTTAACTCCCCCTATTGGTGTAATACCAATTAAAACATCAAAGAATGTCGTTATAGGTGACGTATGGAGATCTTTCAAAGGAAACGTGCCCCTGATGAGATAATTCTGACCCTTTTTTGTTGGCAAGTTGTAACACCATTTAGTACCATATTGTGTGCCAAAGAATCGAGCATGATCGGAACTTGTGCCATTTTGTAACGGTGGCACAATGTCTTGGCATTGTCGATTGTCGGTGAACCATTTGTCATCTGGGATCCATGTTATATTGTTTTTCGGGTCGGTGAAACTTGAGTCGGCACAACACTGTATGCTTACAAATTCTGCACAAAAAGAGTATTTTGCTAGCTAAGTCAGCAATGGGGAAAGATAAACTTAAGTAAAACTGTGAAATTAAAGCTATATGTATAGACGCCATTCTCGCTTGTTATAGTCGTATATCTATATGTAACAGAAATCCTCCTACTTAATTCTTTTAACCTGTTGATCAAGATTATTAGTCTCCTACACTACTTTGATTTGACCCAAATACCCTTCTTTAGTGAGATCAAGTCTTGTACCAGTTCTGGATAGTATACTTGATCAATATTATATGATCTATACATACATAGATACATACATATACATACATACATATATATATATATATATATATATATAGAGAGAGAGAGAGAAGGAGGTTCAGGGTAAAACCCCCAAAAAATGAAAACCTAAGGAACACCCTGATAAACATTCATCTGGACGGTATGCATATGTGTATACAAGTAATTAAAGTTTCTTGGTTTTAATGCATGTGTTCATTTTATTCACATGTGCATACTGGACAAATTGCTTATTCATTACTTGTATGCACATGTGCATACTGGACAAATTGCTTATTCATTACTTGTATGCACATGTGCATATTGTCCAGATGAACGGTTACCATAGTGTTGCTCAATTTTTTATCTTTTTGCGGTTTCCCGCTCAACCTGACCCTATATATATTGGTAATGGTGAGGTCCTGAAGATAATAACTAAGAAAATTCCATGTGGCCCTGAGGATACTTGGGAGGAGCTCCAACGCCTGGGTTTTAATGTTAAACATGATGAGATTTCTTCCCATAAGCCAAAACAAAATCATCTGATGTTGATTGTTGTGACCCTTTACGTTCTTATGCGATTATAAACATGATTGATTCACCAAAATTTCTATTGATTCTACGATCTTAAATTCTTATTAACCGAATTTTTAGATAACCGGGTGTACCTTTTTGTGAACAGGTTGATCGGATGGCTATCAAGATCCAGAGTACGATACAACAGCAAACCAATCTTAAATTTCGGTAATTCAATCCTTCCATCATCTTCTTGTTATGAATTTATGATTCCCCATCTAGTGATCATACTCATAACCATGAAACCAAGTTGCCACCTTGTTTTTCTTCCTTGAATCTGACCCATTTCAAGTCTTTCAAAATTCCCACAAACTGTTGACCAGTTGGGGTTCCTTCAGCATCTTAGATCAAAACTCGAACCGGAAACAAAAGTTGTGATCTGTTAACTTCTAATTTGTGAGAAACCCTTTTGACATTAGCAAGAAAGGATGAATCTTTGGTGATTTTGAGGACACAATAGCATGAAACAATGGGGTTCTTGGAAGGGAGAAGGTATTGGTAGAAAAAATAGGGGTTTGACTTCAAAGATGAGAACTGCAGATGCCTTTAGAAGGAAAGCTTGATTTAGAATAATTTAACATACATTTCTCAATCAGTTTGCTAGATTTTTCCAATAATTAATAGATATTAGTTTGTTTAAGTGATGAAGGTGGGCATTGTTTAAGCTTAATTAATCTCTAATGATTAAATTAATTAGCGTAAGGTTGAGGCGGAGCAATCCCTCGTCTTCATCCATCTTCCGTCTCTCCTCTTGTCTGCTTCCTTAGAATCCAACATCACAAAAAACTTGTTTATTTTGGAAACGCTCATCGACAACGACCTTCAACCACCAATCATGGCTCTCCAACTAAACACTCGTAACCACCATTTTGCTATTCGGTGTTCTTGCGTAGGCGGGACCTACTTGTATGTGATAGCTTTGAAACCCATGAATCATAGATAGAAGTGTGAATGCCGTTAAATAAGTACCTACCGACGTGTTTTTCTTGCATAGGTGGGACCTACAAGTGTCCGAAAGTAAAATGATACAAATAGCAGGTGGGTATTAGCCTAGCAGGTAAGGAGGTGGATATCTTTGCAAAATGTATATAAGATTGTGAAAGTATATATGCTTTGTGATCAACCTCGACCATGTATGGTGTCTCGAACTGCTGTAGATGGTTATGAAGTTTAAGTCGAGTCGAGCTGTCATGTGGCATGCTCGTTTTTGAAAAATGACTGTTTGGTCTCTGCCTGGTTACACAAGTCCCAGTGGTTGGACCAGTTGCTTGACCGTCCTGATCGGTTAAGCCAGGCCCGGTTTTGGTTTAATGTTAACCGAATCGGGGCCCGGTTAACAAACACTAAAATGACGTTTTAATATGTGTAGCAGGTGGTTTAATTGTTAAGCGAATACTACGACTTGGACGACTGCAAACAATCGTCAACCAAATTTGATTTTGGCCTTTTTTTCAACTTGTTCACAAGAGTAGACCCTTTTTATAATATGTTAAAAAAATTATAAACTTATCTTTACACGTAGAAATTAGGGGTGTGCAAAACCCAAATTATCTGAAATCCGAACCCAAATCCAAACAAAAAATAAGGTATTTATATAAAATCCGAATGCCCCGAAATCCGAAAATCTGAAAACTGATTTTTTGGGGAAAATTTGGGGTCGGGTTGGGTTTGATTTTTGACAACCTGATCCGTCTGAAAATCTGAAATATATATACATATATATTTTAAATACTATATAAATATACTTATTTATCTAATTATCTTTTGAAAATTCTAAAAATCTTAGTCGATCGTGTTTTTCTCTAATTTCTACGTGTACTATTGATTTATCAATTCTCTAAATTGATTGAATTAATCATCAAAATCGATTGGATATATATATATATATATATAGAGAGAGAGAGAGAGAGAGAGAGAGGGTGGTTCAAATACTAACCTAATATTTTGTGCAAACTTTGCTAACTCACATCAACCAATAATGTTGCATCTTTGGGTTTGGTTAAAATGTAACTTACATATTAATGATAAGGGTATTTAGGTCATTAGTCATTCTTATGTAACTCCCAAATATTTTAATTGGGAGTTACAAATCCTATAATATCTCAAATTGATCTTCATCTAATAATGACATGAATATTCAAATATGTTCATCTTATTGACAACTAATTCACATATGAAACCACCTACAACGAACATCATGCACGAACAGATATAAAGTACAGGTATCGGTTTTATCTGCACAACACCTGTTTTTGTTAATGTGCATGTCTCATCGTCGTGCATGTGTATCACTACGTGCATGCATCAAGGTTGAAGAACACGATCATATGACCAACATATATCGATTATAGTGTTCATTAGGTTCACACGGTGTAGCTAATGTTCATATATCTAGGGTTCACACCATAGGGTTCACATGAATGTTCATACCTTGATATAGGCACGAAGATGAACGATTGTTCATACACATATTAATTAATACAAATTTTTGACCAATTTATCCTTTGAACAATTGTTCATACACATATTAATTAATATATTAATTAAATTATTGTTTATTTAATCTCATTTAATAATAACCGTTAGATGATAAAATGAACGATTAAGATGGGTTAGCATAGTTTGCACAAAATATTGGGTTAGTATTTGAACCAGCCTCTATATATATATATTTGCATTATAACTAAACCCGAACCAGACTGACCTCGACCCGACCAACCCGAACCCAAAGCAATCCAAAGTCCAAAAATTGGAGCTTGATTTCCATATCCGAAATTCGATCGAGGTTTTGATTTTCCCACCCAAATCCTCCCGATGCACACTCCATAGTAGAAATATATCACTAGACGATGGTAATTAAAATCATTTGGTGATTGGATTATATACTTAAGGGCATACGGTGACACATGTCATTGCCTCATGGATGACATATTAGTTTCGTTGTAGGCCTATATGTGTGTGTGTGTGTGTGTGTGAGAGAGAGAGAGAGAGAGAGAGAGAGAGAGAGAGAATGTGTGTGTATGTATATATATCTGATAAAAATGTCTTAGCAGATTTTTTAACTAGAGATGGCAAAGATGATTGAATAAATTCATAAACTTCTTTCTTTTATGGATGAAGAGATAGAGACAATTAAAGATAGTCTCGGACATCATTGATATTGCAATCTACCGGGCAATTCTTTACAAGTTTGAGATTTATTGATAAAGGCGAGTCAGATAATAAAAACCGGAGCAATAAACTGTAAAAACGACATTTTCAAAATGAAAACTTTGATTAAAAAATGTATCTAATAGAAGAAGATATTCTTTCTTTTATCAAAACTTTGAAGAAAATAGTCCAGACAATGGAGGAATCTGTCTTTTAGACCATATTCAGAAAAAACGGTTTCTAAAATCAATGATTTTTAAAGAAAAAATTGTTAATAGATATTCTCATTCAACAAACTTATGTTGAAAACCAAACCTCTACGATGAAAGATTTATATAATCTATGTGGAACAAATTTGAGATATGTGTTTTTTTTTTTTTTTTTTTGAATTTACCCCAGAATTAATTATTTACAAGGATCATCTCCTCATGGGATTAAACATTGGTCTGATTTTGGTGTCATAAATTCGATATATCTTACTTCTCCTGATTTTTCTGAATTACCTCATTGGATAATGATGGGGTTAGAGATTGTTATCTTAATAACCCAAAAATAGCCCCAAAAGATATACTGGTTCTAAATTTTTATCTGTAGGACCAGATTTTTTGAAGTAAAAAGATATCCTACCTACCATTTTTGTTCAACTGGTAAAATCTAAAGCTTTTTCGATTTCAATAACTAATAAAAAGGCGAATTTTCAAAAAAATTATGAAACAATATTCATTACAGAAAGGCATTGGGCATTCGGATCATCTTACAAGGGATGGAAGCCAACTTTAGAAAAGATTTCGCACATACGACGGAAACAAGATATATTTATCTGTAATGATTTCTCCGGCTAAATAAACACCTAGAGCAGCGGAAAATTATCTGAGAACAAAAATAGATTTGTTAGATAAAGGGGTCATTAAGTCGAGCGTCCAGTATGAGATATGTCTATTTAGATGACAAAATAAATGCAGATGTTTGTCATGATCTTCGATCCTACGTTTTGCTTTTGATCTTCTAATTCATATATAATGATTATTTTTCCATTACATAAGTAAATCTCCCAACTAAATCCGTACCTATTTTCTATGCACCTAACGTAGCAAAAGAAACTAGGTTGTGCGTAGTTTCGCTGAAGAAGCTACAAAGAAGTTACATGTTTTAGCATGTTGGGGCTGAAACATCTGTTAAAAGTCTCGTTACATGACGTGGTGATACTTCGGTCAAAGAAGACATGTACGGAAGCATGTTGGACGCTTTATTCATGTAGTTCTAAAATAAGATCAACTGTTTGATGTTTTTAGAAGTTGTAAGGAAAACTTTTTAAACAAATTTAAACTGCTATAAATAATTTTGATATTATAATAAATGGTTTTAACAATTGTTATGATAATAACAATAACTGATAATATTTTAGATTCTCTTCCTCCAGATTTTTCAGATTTTGTTATGTTCCACTTGGAACATAACTTGGAAAATGATTTACCATCTAATATTTGGTATTATCTACAAGATGTTTTAGACAACTCTGAAATTGGTATCAAAGACCCCCACACACACTCGAGCCAAACTTTCATTAATGACCAATTAAAGTTTTAACAGTGTTCAAATTCTCAACAAGCCAACCAGGAGGAGACACACCAGTAGTTGGCGAGGCAACAAAATTGAGATCGCCTTGTCAATGTGTGAGCCACTATATTTCTACCCCTCCAAATTCATGTGCCATATATTTTTTAAAAATACATTTATAACATAAATTTAAGCTCAGCTAAGTTTGTTTACAGATCATATAATTAAATACCTGTTTTCAATAATAAAAAACCAGGGTTTAAATCCCATTGATAACAAAATACTTGTTTTTAGATTTTAATTGCGTTTTTCTTACATCTTTTGTTTTAAATGTATATTCAGACCAACACATAATAAACAAGGAATCGAATCTGGGCTTTTTCCTTAGCAATACAAGCAACTAATTGAGCAAATTTTTTTTGAAGTATATAGTATTCATATACGGCAAATGCAACAAATAAACTCACATATCCTTCTCATCTATGGTGAGATTTGAACCTCTAACCTCTTAGGAGGCCAAATGCAACGATACCGCTAGGCTAAAGACCCTTTGGTCGAGCAAATTATTTTGATTTTATTAGAAAAAATATGTATTTTTTTATAGTCAAATGGTATATAAAAAAAATCTGAATCCACCATTTTTAAATCAGATGTTACAAAAGATTCTCTTAAAGTTGCATCCAAATCATAAGAAACCAAGTAAATGAATAGTTGTATGTGCAATTTAAAACTCTAAAAGGTTCTTAATTTGGTAATATACCAATAATATTCCATTTTTATACACAATTTTAAACTCATACTTAGTCCCTAAACTTTCTTGATTTGGTAATATTCCAAACTGTGTCATAGAATATTCTATTTTGCCTGAAGCTAAGGAGTCATTTACCAAACACATATCTGGTAAGCATTTACCGGTAAAATTCAATATTATTATTTACTTATCGGGTAAGATTTTAGTCAACAAAATACGACAATTTACCCGGTAAGAGCTGACCATGATAAGAGTCATTGCCCTCACTACCGGGTAAGATTTTTTGTCCTTACCATGTTCATCCGATAAGGTAATATAACTTGATAAGCGCTTACCCAAGTAAGCATTTGGTAAACGACCCCTAAGAATTGTGTATGACTAATCAAATAAACTACAAACAATAAATGTGAAATATATAGTTCTAACACATGCAATATTGTTCAGGTTGTGTCGGTCTTTTTTAAGGATTTGTTATACGTGTGCCAAGATTATGGATCAATTGAACGAGTGATAATTAAAAAATGAAAACAAAATATAAAAAGATTATAAATATATTATATTAGCAGCTTTTTTTTATTAACCTGGATATCCAACCCAGTATGCGAGCCGACTAATCTCAGGACGACCATCTGTTTTGCAGATAGTCCGGAGTAGAGATGGCCAAATCGGCCCGGCCCGGCCCTGGACCGCCGGAGGACCGGTTATGGGACCGAAAATCGGGACCGGTTGAGGTTTTTGTTAGTTTCGTGGGACCGGGACCGGGACCGGTTATGAGACCGACTATGGACCGGCCCAGCCCGGCCCAAAAATTCAAATAAATTTATAAATAAATGTATTTTTAAATAATTTTATAATGTATTTTTATAAGAAAACGTAATTTTAATTATATTAAAACACATTTTTAAAGTGTATTTGAATGACCCAATTGTAAATTTTATAATGTATTAAAAATATATATCATTAAAAAAATAAAAAAAATCTTATTTTTTAATGCAAGGACAGGTTGGAACCGGTTGGGACTGGGATCGGCGGCCCATAACCGGTTATGAAGTACCTTGACCGGTCCTATCATTCTTGACCGAGACCGGGACCAGTTACGCCGAGACCGGTTATGGCCGGTTATGAGAAAGGTTAGGACCGATTGGGCCCGGCTCGGCCCGGGACCGGTTTTTGGCCATCTTTAGTCCGGAGTCACCGCATTTGAACCTCCGTGGTCACAAGGGGATTTTTATCCTTCTTCGATTTGAACTTGAGACCTCCTGCTAGTTTTGACCTTTGGAGTCAAGCTCAAACCAATCAGACATCACCCTTGTGGTTGCAATCTTAGAAATTAAAATAATAAAATGTCATAAAATGACAAAGTAACATGAAATTCACGTCAATGAAATCATTTTTCTAATTGGGCTAAGAGTAAAAGTATAAAACATTATACTTGGGCCCAAATATACAGGGGGCCTTGTTCCATATCTCATATTGGAACACCCTCATACACGATCTTACGCAATAAATGAAATCAAGAGACATGAGATTGAACGTGGTTCCACTATAGGTATGGTAGCGTAAATTCATAGTGAAAGAGAAGTCGCTTATTTTAATAACAAAGAGGAGTTACAAAACAACTTACGAAAAGATATTGATCACAAGCTAGACGAAAACCTTGTTTTACCTCTTCTATATTTATCTCTAACAAATATGGATAGAACAAGATCTCGGATAAAACTCAAAAGAATGTACAAAGTGACCAATATCGTTTAAAAGAGGGCCCCGGAGGCTATGCAACCTTTAACCCCCGTAGGCTGCCAGCCAGTCCAAAAAATCCCTAGGTGATGTGCCATGTGGGATGGAGCCAATAGGCCTAACTTGCTAATTTTGCCATGCGATCTGGAGCACACAAGTTGCTCATATTGCATAAAAAAGAACAGGGTATTAGGATTTTGCAAATTTGGGTGGCATCAACAATCACCAGTTGTAGCATCGAGCCTTGTATATAACTTGCCAACAATTACAAGCGGTTTTGGACATTATTTGTACATAAATGTTAATATATTATCGTACTTGCTTTTTGTTCAAAATCGCTTATATTTATAGATTGCATTATTTTTATGCACTTCAAAAGAAGGAAAAATGTTTGCAACAGAAGAAATCTGAATAAAATGCGACCTTTGAAACTTTGACAAGTATGTCAGTAAAGAAATTTCTAAATGACCACAAGCTCGTTAGTCATATACTACATAAATTTCTAAATGAAAACGGTGTAAAACATCGATAATCGTTATATAAAACTGATCAACATTTATTTAAATACGGCTTAAAAGACATAATTTGGTTAGATAACATATCAAAACGGGTTGGGACAAACTGGGCCAGTTTCAATGGCTTGTCAGAAAAGGTCGGATCATATCATCTTGATCCATTGGGGTGCGTTTGATATGCAGATTACACGGGACAGGACGGTAAAAAAAATAGTCTCATGTTTGGCATGCCATGGACAAAAAAAACATGGGACAATGTGGGACTATTTTTAATTTTAATGGAACAAATCTTGATATTTCTTGTTCCACCAAAAAAGGTGGAACAACATGGGACTAAAGTTAAAATGACAATATTTTGGTTGACTTGTTGTCATTTTACAATCATTATATGATATAAAATAACACTGAACAACATTTAGTGGTAATATGATCATTTTAATAGTTTTGTCTTGTCTTGTACTAGTTGTACCAAACATAGGACAGACAATTAGTCATGTCCCGTCTCGTCCTGTCCTGTCATGTTCCGTCCTGTCTCATCCATTCTGCGTACCAAACACTACCTTGATGTTTTTCTTTGTCCTACTCCTTCAACTCGCCATCTAAATATCAAGATTTGTCATTAAGTCATAATTATATTAATTTAACTAAATGTTTTAAAATCGTATTGTTCATGTTATTCTTTCCATATTATATCATTATGTATAATGTCGGAATTCTATATTGCTGTATAACTTTTGTACAATTGTATATTTCCTACTTTTTTTTTATTAACCTGGATATCCAACCGCTATGCGAGCCGACTAATTCCAGGACGACTTGTATCAATGTGGGCCATTTGTTACAAACTTCCCCACTTAAACTCCTAACGTCCTTCTCAGGCGTACCAGAATCTTCCTCCTTGTCATCGGCAATGTGGGATTCGCCTAAGATGTTATAAACATCCCATCTCGAGGACTCATCATGCCCGATGAGGTTGCCCCACCATCCCGATGGTACAAGGATCGGCTCTGATACCATTTGTAACATCCTCAATCCCAAAGCAACGAACTAGTCCAATAACTTCGAATCCAACTTAAAACCATGATAGAAGTTATTGGTAGCCCACTACTTAAGACTGATAAGGAGCTAACAATTTTCACCTTCTATTCATGTGGGACGAGTTATTACAAAAAGCATCAATAAATTTATAAAAATCGCACGTATACATCTAACACGATATCTTAGTAAACAACACTTAATGATCTAACCTCGTATCAAATAAACAACATTGAATATATGCGATGATCCCATTTTTCTTTGTTCTAGAATCACATGCATTGGCTAATGATACCACAGACTTTCTGGTTATGTCGTATTTTATTTTATCTACACTTATAGATCAACAATCCTTTTTCTTGCTTTCATTCTAAGACGATATAAGTTTTCATGCCACAATTTAAATGTCCAAATGTTTTCAACGATAAAATATTTACAAATCAAACTAAACAAATCAGTATACTTAGGGGTTGTTTGTTTACCTCTTAATAATTCAATTAAGAAGCAGTCTCTGAATCATTAAGAGGTTAATCTTGTTTGGCAAAAAAAAAGTCTGTCTCTTAATGGTTTTAAAATGCTCTAGGGCTGTTTGTTTCCCTCTTAATGGTGACATTAAAAAGGAGCCTCTTAATCGGTAAGAGGCAGGAACTGTTTGACAAAAAAAAATAGCCTCTTAATGGTGACAATATCCTCTTAACGGTTTTGTGTTTAGGGTGCTCCTAAATGGTTCAGATGTAAGTTGTTCCATTTTTACCCTCCCACTTCTCCAACTTGCTACTCATCCCACGCTCCTTCAATTTCTCCTCCCACTTGATCCCGTCGCTCTCCACGTCAGTCTCATCCCATTTACAAACTCATCTCCCTCCTCCCCATCTTCTACCTTCTCACCATCTTTCCCCTCCTCCTCTCATCTGCCTTCACCATCGCCGTCGCCACCTTCTTCTTCACTTGGCTGGCTCCTCTTCACTTTCAATCACGACCCACTTTACCCACCAAAATCCCTCATTCAATTCATCGTCGCTTCCCTTTCCGTCAAAATTAAACCCCAATTTTACAACCCTAAAAAGAAATCGAGTGTATATCTGTGGATTGAATCGATGCTTTTCCCCTTACTGATCAATTTTGCGTATAATTACGAACACGCATTGAATCCTCACGTTTTGTTAATCGTTTATTGTTTTATAATGTTTATTCTGATTGATCTTCTGGTTTTCGTTTCGAACGCCGTCGTTGGAGCGGTGACCGGAGTCGAGCTTGAGCTGCCGTCGGACGAGCCGTACCTGTCGACCTCCTTACAAGACTTCTGGGGTCGTCGATGGAACCTCATGGTAACAAATAGCCTGCGACATACAATATACAAACCCACGTGGGAGATGGCGTGGAGCTAAAGGGGAAGAGAGCAATGGACGGAAAATTTGAATTGCCGACGGTGGTTGCAAGGTTGTTGGCGGTGGGGTTAAAATGGTAATTTGTTGTCTGAAAGAACAATTACCAAACAATCTTGTTTCATTTAGCACTTAACCATTCTGACCATTTAACTATTCTGCACTAAATCATTCAGCAACTGCCAAACTTAACTATTCTGCACTAAATCATTCAACAACTGCCAAACTTAACTATTCTGCACTTAACCATTTTGACCACTTAATGATTTTGTATCATGAGTCTCCCTTAACCATTAAACGTCATACTTTTATCGTAAACAATTACCAAGCAATAATATTTCATTTTGTATTATATTATGAGAGCATTTTAATCATTCTATACCAAACCATTCAACAACTGTCAAACAGTCTATTACTTTAGATAAGGTCTTAATAAAATAAGATATATACAAATATTTTTCTATAGATACTGTTAAGTATTCATAGTATGATATTTAAATGTTTTTATGGCCTCCGTTACCACGATTAATGGATTCCACCAAATATTCGTATCCGGAAACAAGTTGGATGTTACGGTTCAACTCTTCAAGTCTCTGCATTTTAAAAATACAAACACTAACTACCAAAATTGAAGATCTTGACTATTTGGGGGCACAATGTAATTATATCAAACTTAGGTGTAGTATATGTAAATAATGTTACTATATAAGGCGAAGTTTTGATATTATTAGAAAAGAACACCATTGTGTTGATAAATTACAGTAACCACCTCCTGCTCCGAGCAGGAGCTTCTAGACTCCGATCACCGTATCCGTCACCGGAACTACCGCCTCCGCATCTCTAAGGTACTGTTTGTTGTCTGCTATCTTGAATGAATGTGATTGTGGAACTTCGTTCCTCTTTTCTTGTAGTAATTTTTTTTCTATTTACTTTGATTTTGCTTCTGTTAATGCATTTTGTACGTCGTGGCTTACTGTTGATTTGAGCTATGAGTCATTACTAGTATTCATTTTGAAGCTCCAGGTTGAGGATTGAAACTTTTTGCTGTGAATTGTGCTTATTCGTTATTTCTATGAGATGGTATTGGGGTTTTGATTTACCTGTGATATTGGAATGTGGAAATTGAAATACAAGTTTTCAATCAAGTTCTTTTGCGGAGATGCTTGTTTTCTTTTACTTTTATGATTGTTGTGGAGAATATCCTTATTTTCCACTATAATCTGAACTTCTGTTCTGTCGAATTCTATGGAAGCACCTGATATGATGTTGTCAAAATCACTCGAAGTCTTTTTTTTTTTTTTTTGTAGAACATTCATCAACATCTAGGAGCAACAGGAAATTTCAATTTTCTAAAACTATGGCAAGAACGATGGCGACCATCATTGTCATCCTCTGCTCCTTTTCCATCCTTATCTTGGCCACTGAGAGGGTTCAAAGGTCATCTTCTTTGATTGGAGGCAGTGGTATAAAACAGTTGCGATTTGATGAACAGGGAGAGTTTAGGATTCTGCAGGTGGCTGACATGCACTATGCTGATGGAAGGCAGACCCCTTGTGAGGATGTGTTGCCTGAACAGTTTGCCCATTGCTCTGACCTAAATACCACTTTTTTCATTGAGAGAATGATCCAGGCTGAGAAACCTGACCTCATTGTTTTTACTGGAGACAATATCTATGGAGCAGATACAACCGATCCAGTAGCTTCCATGAATGCAGCATTTGCCCCTGCCATAACATCAAACATCCCATGGGCAGCTGTCTTAGGGAACCATGATCAAGAATCCACATTGTCAAGGGAAGGTGTCATGAGATATATTGCTGGAATGAAACACACCTTGTCTCAGTTTAATCCTTCGGGTGTTGGTGTTATTGATGGTTTTGGAAATTACAATCTTGAAGTACATGGAATTGAAGGATCAAGTTCTGTGAATAATTCGATCCTCAACTTATACTTTCTTGACAGTGGTGACTACTCTACAGTTCCCTCTATCCCTGGTTATGTATGGATCAAGCCATCTCAGCAGTTTTGGTTTCAACAGACTTCTATGAAGCTTCAGAACAAATCAAAAGCTCCTGGACTCGCTTACTTCCATATCCCATTGCCTGAATATGCAAGCTTTGACTCCTCAAACTTTACGGGCGTGAAACAAGAAGGGATCAGCTCTGCTTCTGTGAACTCCGGTTTCTTCACAACACTGGTAGAAGTAGGGGATGTGAAGGCCGTTTTCACTGGCCATGATCACATCAATGATTTTTGTGGACAGCTGACCGGAATTCATCTCTGTTATGCTGGAGGGTTTGGGTACCATGCTTATGGAAAAGCTGGATGGTCAAGAAGAGCAAGGGTCGTTGTAGTGTCTTTGGATAAAGAGTCAAATGGAAGTTGGGAAGCAGTCAACTCCATCAGAACATGGAAGCGCCTTGATGATGAAAAGCTAACTGCTATTGATGATCAGGTACTTTGGAGCAAGACTCCATCTGGGAATCGTAGAAAGAGGGAAAACAGCGCTGTTTGAATCATTCAATCATCCAAAAAGTCTTATAAACACTTGTAGGAACCACATATCACAATCACACATGCTGGGAGAAAAATGATACTTATATTCAGTTCTATAAGAATGTTATTGTGTATTACCATGAGTTGCGAAATGGAAACTTCAATCATCAATGAATTTATCATGCTTTGGGTATTCAAGGTGTCATTGTTTATAGCGAAGCTGGCCAGCAGATGGCAGGTATGGAATCATAGAAGCCAAGTCAACAACTCAACATAGTTATCTTCATCAAATCTGATCTTTTTGGTTACTACTCATCTATTTTCTAGACAGAGGTAAGCTTCTCTCAGTTACTGTAGAGAGGATTAAAATATTGAGGCTTGCTAAAGCTATCTTATATTTAATATATTGCTTCACTTTACCTCTCAAAGAAAAAGTTAAATGATGGCCTTGGTATGAACGGTATTGTGTTTGTTGGAAAATCAGTTCCATATTTCCCTAAAGATAATCTTTAGCATCTTCCCAGCATAAACTTGTCGATTACATGGGATCGGATGGAAAAGACAGATTATGATAAGTTACTTTCTTGTTATCTCAGGACCTAATTGTATCTTTCTAAGTGAATCTATGTAGTTTTTGATACATACAAACTAAGTTCAAATGGTTATGAAGAACACCTGTGTTCTAGCATTACATTGTTATGCATCATTTGAAATGGTCTTCCCTTTTGAAGACTAACCGATAAAACTGACCAAACCGGATATGTAGAGGTGTCTCAGAAATGTCAGAAGATCATTTAACCAAAGGACCCCCCACAAAAACATGGTCTCTGCGGTCCGCCACAGTTATCTCAGGAAAGAACATGATTACTAGCCGATAATGAATTACTGGTACTTGAGTTAAAAATGTCATATCTGCAGGGAGTGTGAACTGGGTGCAGCCAGATTAGCACAACTTTGCATTCATTATTTAATTAAAAAATAACTTGGATACAACGTAGCTGGTTTGCATGTGAGGCTCATATGGTTGGGGTATGAGAAAGTCATGGTTTGACTTTCTCTGAAGAGTTCGATTCTATTTGTTGTTCAAGGTTTTTAATATTTCCTAAATGAAAAGAAAACGTGTTGAATACTTTGACATGTGTACATAGCTTTAAGAAACATAAAATAATTCATATTCCAAGTCTCCTAATAATTACTAATTAGTCTTCTAGAGCTTGTTTTCTACTCTCTGCCTTTGTACTTTCTTATGCATATGTACTCGTCTTTTATGTCTTTGTTCTCGACCTCATCTGCTTGTTTATGTTATATGTCTTATCTGTTTGTCTTCATTATGTGTATCTCTGTTCTCTACCTTATTAGAGTTTAACCAACGAATGCTCTCTTGCTGGTACAAGATTAAATAGTTTGATGATTATTGATTTAACTAATATGTATGTATATGTACATGCACGTGTTCTTCACTTTGTATTTCTTCAATATGTTGAACCCAACGCATTTATCTAAATCTTGAGGGCCAGCTCAATTGGAAAACAAAGGCCAGGCCTTGGGGCTCCTCCGCATAGGTCGCCAGTACGAGTCTCCTCAGGGCATTGAGGATTTTCCTGGCTATTATATATTCAGGACCCCATGGGATTAGTCAAGGTGCGCGATAGCTTCTGATCACCTAATGCACACGTTCCCGTACCTCTGGTTTTTGCCAATAATGGTGGAATAGGCATAGCTAAGGTAATACACCACAAGCATAGTAAATGTACGGATTATCAAAACAAACTATAAATTAATGTTAATTATGTTCTAATTTTTCCATTGAATTCATACATGTATATGTGAACATAAACAAAAAGATTGAATAAATGAAAACCTGCATCAGTAAAAATTCCATTGAAAGTAAAGTTCCTGCTTGTTGAAACACTTTCTTATTATCATCTGAAAAGACAACTAATTCAAGATCTTCCTTTTTTTATGTCCTCTGATTCTTGGAAGCAAAACGAAGAACAATATAGAATAAGATCCTGTATAGGACTGCCCATCCCAACATTATGTAAATCATTGACCACTTTGGATCTTTTTCATGATAAATGTGCAGGGATTGCAGGATGTCGATTCCAGTCACATTCGTCCCGGCAAGGGTCTGCCCGAAAACTTCGTTTCTTTGGTACTCATTGATCAGAAGCCCTTCGTATGGATACGTCATCGTTGATATCTTATTCATCCATCTCCAATACTTTGGAATATCATGGCTGCTTAAGAAATACCCACAAAACAAGAAAAACAGGGCTGTGAATGCGATCACAGCCGCGTACCCGAGAATGAAATTGGGGACCACTGAGCTCACAAACACCACGAACGAATTGGTGGAGAGGAGAGAAACATATAAAATAATCAGAAAGTAAACAAAAGAACCTTCGAGCTTTAAGGCAAACCAGGTGATTACTGCATAAACTGCAGCCTGGAGTAAGAGAAACGGGAGGTAAGTGATGAGGCCGGCAATGGTGTAAGAAGAGGCTCGATACGCGTTATGAGAAGTTTCACGGACAAATATGAACCTTTCTTGGATGAACGCGGGGACTGCATCGTTGGATGAGAAGAAAAAGAGGCAAACGGTGAAGATGAAGAAGCTGAGCCGGTTGGTAATCCCTTGCATTGTGGCTCCTGGTTTCTTGAACATAGTGGCCATCATAAAACCCATGATGGTCAAGACCATGAGCCGTGATAAGAACAGCTCGGGGGTTCGCCTGATGTTTATAAAGTTTCGACGCATCAGAACCCAGGTTTCTGCAAAGAAAGAGTTTGAAAATTTAGGACCTAAATGGTGGTGGTTTGCACCATCTGCAGCCATGGATGGGGTGATGTAGTCATCTTCATTAACGGTGTAGTCGCTGCTGTGTGGAGTCGGGGTTCTGGCTAGGATATCACTTGAGTTGGTGTAGTAGCCAGGGGATGCACTGCAGAAACAACACAATATGAAGTCAGGTCTCTGAAATTCTGATAACTATGCCACGTGGAGAATGTTAGTTGAGAACCGTAAATATTTTGAGATCTGAGAACCAACTATTTCATTAGTTATTCAGGAGGAATCACCCCAGAATAATCAATGAATATTATTCATCATTTTCACTATTCATGATATTCATCATTAATAGCTCATGAATAGTTGGTTTTGTAGGTTCACAAAATATTTACGTTTCTCATTTGAACTGGCCCCTATGACTTGTGACCGAACATATGTCTAAGAAGTAAATGTTGTTCGAGTGCACATCTATAGACGATTTATGTAATTCACTCTTTTCGAACGATAATCAAGAGCGGGGAAGTAGTTTACCTCGCTGGATTTGGTGTTCTCTGATTCCGATGACGGGCTGGCGTTGATTTAAGCGATTGCATGATTCCTGATTGGCTCCATGACTTTGAATTGTTCCATGGGCTTCTCACGCTATGATCGAATCCGTTATCTTGATCATGGCGTCCTGCCATTTGTAAGTGAAGCTTTTTCCCTGAGCTCCAATGGGGAGGTGGGGTCGGGGTCGAAAACGACATTTCATCGTCCGAAAGTTTTGGGGGTTTCATACCCGTGACAACGAATTCGGCCAATGCATCCACTCCATATTCGGATTGATCGTATTGTTGTATCACATCAATGAGGAACTCTATCGGGCTTTCTCCTTTCGGAACTCGCCGGCCAATTCGGCCAAGATGCAGCCCGACATCTTTCGGGGATCCTTGGTACATGAGTTGACCACGAGCCAATATGATAAGATGGTCAAGTAGAAGTTGGATTCGAGACGATGGCTGGTGAATGGTTAGAACCACCGTGCTTCCTGCTTGTGCAATGTTGTGAACCTTTTCAATCACACTCTGAGCACTGGTCGAGTCCAAACCCGAAGTCGGCTCATCAAGAAAAAGCAACGATGGTCCATGGATGATGTCTACGCCAATTGACACCCTCCGACGTTCACCCCCAGAGACTCCTCGACTCCCTTCGTCACCTATGTACGTGTTCCTTGCCGACTACATAATGAAGGTATGCAAATTACTCTTTTTACGAACTCAAGTTTACATGCTACCTTTTATTCAAAAAGTGATTACCATACTTTCATGTTTTTCATTCATAGGCATCAATTGATAAATATCTCTGTTGACATATGTGAGTTAAAAGTCTAGTAATCACTTTTGCAGCTGATAAGCTGAATACTGGCTAATAAACTAGTCTTTGGTAAAAACTGAAAATTGGTTAGATGACAAATGTAAAATGACTTAAAAGTGCATATACTAAAAAATTAATTGAAAATTTTAATTAGAACAAAAAGTGGAAAAAAACCATGAAGCTTGTTGAAACGTTAATTTTCAAAAAGCTAGCTTATGGCTTGCCAATTGGAGCTTTTTCAATAAGCTCAAAAAATAAGCTAGCTTACGGTTATGGAATATGATATTTGTCAGGATTTCTAGAAGCTATTATATGGATACAGCTAACAAGTGAATAGTCATACTTACTGATAAACCAAGTTGCTCGATTAGTGTCTCAACACGTTGCCGCTTTTCGGCCTTGGTGATCGAGCCTAACCGGAAATCGGCAGCAAACATCAAGGTTTCGTAAACGGTTAGCATTGGAAAGAGCCGATCATCCTGCATTATGTAAGCAGAAGTTCTCTTAATCAAACTTGGGCTCATCTCGTTTCCATCTAACAACACCTTACCCTTAAGGCTACCACTCGCAATACGACCCGCCAACCCGTCCAAAAAAGTCGATTTCCCGGCACCACTAGGACCCATAACCGCGGTGATGCACCCTTTCGGTGCATACCCGGTGATCCTATTCAATAAATCAGCTTCTTGATTCACCCATTTCCCTTGGTCGGTCTTCTTTTTCTTGATCACGGTGTACGTTAGGTTCACGAACTCTAACGCACCTGCGAAACTCATGGGTTTGGCTATGTCGATCACCGTGTCGCGGCGGATGCCGTTGGTGTTATGATTCATTTGATGGATTTGCAGTTTAGGGTTTAGGGAGTGGGGAATTATTTTTGGTTCTGCTACCTCCAATTTGGAGATGTCATGGGGGAGAAGAAGGTATTTTTGGTTTAATTTTTTAAATAATAGGATTGGGGGGAGATTCCAATGATGGTACAACCGTACAAGTTTGCATTGTGCAGTTAGTTTTTTAGATTTAAGATTGGAGCCATCGAAGCAGATCATACACTATTCTTGTTTTCTTCATCTTCTTTCTTTTCCTTCTATATTGGAATATAGACTTTTAGTTATGAGTTAATATATGTAATATACATAGCGGAGAATATAAACCATGTAATATTATAGACTATTAAAACCAATCAATTAAGATATTTATGAAAATGATAAAAATTTAGTCGTTATGATTTAAATATTTAAATAAGATGAATATATTTCATTAATTATTATTAACACTTTATATTATAAAACTATCAATGTATTTATGAAACCAAATATTTGTTAGACTACGGTTGAGATTGGTTTGTATGATTTGTAATATCCGGTCTCTCTCTCTCTCTCTCTATACTATATCATAAAACATTTGATAAAAACTCTTGAAAATCATTTTTTATGCATGACGTACTGTATATTGATGCATATTACTTAAAATTCAAGATTACAAGTAAATTATGCATACGTTAAACTTATTAAAGCTACATGTTTGAATTTGTGTAACTAGCTACAGATAAACATAATCAAATAGAAGATAAACATCTCATTTTAAAATATAAAAAATCTAAAATATAATTAGGATAATTATCGAGTTCCAACAAAATAATTAATTATTATCTTTATAAGAAAATTATATTATTAAACCAAATATAAATTACTTTGTTAGTGAAACTAAATTAATATAATAAAAAAATTGAATTAAAAAATTATACAAAAAATAGGAATTTTATATAGTTAATTTGATACTAATATCGATATATTTTTGTCAAATTTTTATGATATCTTCAAATTTATATTTCATTCAAAAATAGAAACATCACCATTTTTTCAAAATCACATAAGATCATACCATAACATTGACTGAAATAATGAATAAAATGAAATATTAAAATCAAGATATATCTCGTTGCATTGCACGAGTATCCTTCTAGTATATATATATATATATATATATATATATATATATATATGGTCCATTCAAGGGAGAACTAACTAGTTTGTGGTAACCGTGAGATCCAATCTCAACCACAAATCAATTGATAAATTAGAAAATTTATAATTTTGGTAATTTTTAATTAAATTTTCATGCAAGGACATTTTAGGTATTTTCAATCCTCTCTTCTCTCTCCGTCCCCGTTTTCCGGCCACCATCCTCCAGTGATACCACAGTGTGATACTCAAACACATATAAGATGCATTGTGATACCACTGTGTTACATATCCGATCGACTACACAAACGACAACAGTGTGATACTCAATCACATATAAGATGCATTGTGATACCACTGTGGTATCACCGGAGGCCCGGAGACGAAGAGAGAAGAGAGGAGATAGGGGAGAAAATACCTAAAATGTCCTTGCATTAAAATTTTAATTAAAAATTACCAAAATTAAAAATTTCTTAATTTATCAATTGATTTGTGGTTGAGATTGGACCTCACGGTTACCACAAACTAATTAGTTCTCATTTGATTAGACCCCTATATATATGTGTGTGTGTGTGTAAATTTATTCATGGATGAGTTTGAAATTAAAGATGATCAATAGTCTATATTACTTCTTACGCTTCTGATTTTAACTTTCTTTCTTATACAATCCCTCGCCTATCGTATGCAGGCAAAAGTAATTGAAATGTTCAAATTGGACCACAAAATTTAGCAAAGTTGTTGTCGAAATGGGTTATTTTTTGTTGGTTTCAATAATCACTTTCAAGGTAAACGAAGAAGATATGAGACCACTGACCAAAACACAAGTAAAAAGGTTGGTTTAAATGTCAAACAAGAGACCAACTCAAACAAGGGATTCTAGGGGCTGTTTATTAAAAGCTTACCCGGTATGTGTTTACCGGACAATTTTTCTCACCGGACGAACATGGTACCGACTGAATTTCCATAATTGGTGTAATTTTTATAATAAGGATGCTTAACAACCGATGGCTCTGCTTAAAACCGTATATTTGACTGCTTAAAACAATTGTGTTTGCGTATGTCAAAACTTTATACAATACTGTCTATTATTGTTTATATATTGGTAACATGGTTCTAAATAACTTGTTATGATATGTTCTGGCGTCAAGTCTTGGGTTGCCGCTACGTTAACCCCTATGGCTTCACTCTGGTTTGCATTGTAACGCGTTACAACACGTTGCGATGCATTTTTTTGTAAGGTGTGGGATTACTTTAATATATAACTTGAATGATAAATTGTAATTATATGTAGGAGACTAAGACTTGAATAAACATTAAAAAAAGAACTTAAAAACTAAAACCTTAAATAAGTAAATATTTACTTGCATTTCTCTACAGCGAAAAGTCGAACACGAATTCTTTGAAAATTGAAAAAAGTAATGAGTATAGATTCAAGATATTTAATCTCGATTTTGCACTCTTGATATCATTTTCTATAAACTCTATTTTTTGTATCAATCGTTTTTATTTCTTTTTTATTTTTATTACTTCATTTGAATTTAATTTGTTCTAAAATATTACTCAAGACACTAACACATAGAAGTGTAGATGGGTGTGGGTGTGGGTGGGTGTGTATATATACCGCCTTATGGCACGCCTTGAAATACCTCATGGCCTCGTCGTAACTCATAAGGCTTGAGACTTGATATTGCCGTCACGTCACGTCATGTCTCACGTCATTTAGAACCTTGATTAATAAGGCAATCCTTAATTTTGAATAATCTTTCTAAATGACGAGATGTAGCATGACAACAAAGTCGAGCTTCAAGAGTTCAAGTCTTAGGAGCATGAAATCATGTTGTTTTTCAAAGCGTGCTGACTTACGATGACAAATCTATATATCACATATATATGACCAATATGTTTTATGAGAGAGGATCAAACGAGAATGCTAACTATTCAAGGGAATAGGGAAATGGTCAAATCACGTGAAAATCATATGTGATTTTACATTAACGACCAAAAAAGTGTGTGGGCGACCCTATGGCCACGTTATCAGGTCGCAGGGCAAAGTGGCGTGAGTCAAATGTAATTTTGTACGTGATGTTAATGTAAAATCATATGTTATTTGACCGTCTGATTATTCTCTTAAATATGTATTGTTTTCACTTGAACCCGACCCAATGTTTAATACCGTTACTCAATGAGTCAATGATTAAATAATTTAAATTCGGTTATATACTAAAAACTAAAAATAAGGCACCAAAAGATTATAAAATCAAATATTGCGTTACAAAAATTGGGTCATGGTATGCCACAGGCTTGAAGTGACGTTAGATACGAGCCTTGAGACAAGGCGTGGCATAACGATTGTCCGAAACAAGCCTTTTAGAACACTGGTTTTAAAAGACATGTTGTCTTAACAATAGATAAACTAAAACTTAGAGTGAATTACATAAATCATCCCTAATGTCTACTGAATTGGCATTATTGTTCTAATTTCGTACCTAACACCTAACCTTTGATCTCCCTTGCATGGATGGTCTCTCCCTCTAACTTAGATAAGACTCTCTAACCCTATCATCGTTTTTACCGGGTAAGATTTTCAGCCCTTGTCATGTGCATCAGGTGAGAAAAGTTACTCGACCCATACTTACTAGGTAAGTATTTAGTAAACGGCTTTTAAGTGCCTTTTTAAGGGTTTCGAGCAATATCTGTATATCTAGAGGGCTTCTTTGAAAAAAGCTTTAACTAGTTATACACTTATTTTGAAGTGAAATGCGTTTTCAATCCTTGTAGTTTGTTTACCTCTTATTGGAGGGCTTCTTTGAAAAAAGCTTTAAACATTGATTTTGAAAATTGACCCCCAAAATAGAAATTAGGTCAAAATTGATTTCATTTTAATGAATTCTTTTTACAAGATGACGTACACGCTCAGAAAATAAAACCTATTAGTACAATTTTTTTTTATTAATCATAGGTCATGAGGTTGTTTGTTTACCTCTTAATAGTTTTATTAAGAAGCAACATCTGAATTATTAAAAGGTGAATTATGTTTGGCAAAAAAAAATCTGCTTCTTAATGGTTTTAAAATCTTTTGAATGATTTGGTATCATGCATCTTCCTTAACCATTAAGAGCTATAATTTTATTGTACACAATTACCAAACAATTATATTTCATTTTGCACTATATCATGAGAGTCTGTTATTGTACACAATTACCAAACAATCATTCTTATCACTTAATCATTCTTTATCAAACCATTCAACAATTGTCAAACACCTTTATACGCGTCTCGACTAATCTTGTTGGAAAATCCCTTGCCGGGCAGCACGAGTCACAGCTTACGTTGGTCATTCGTATGCTTCCCGGGTTTGACTTTGACTCTAGCGTTAAACCCTTCCCCAAGGAAACTTCAAAACTTTTCTAAAACCCCAACCTCTTAAACCCTAATTCTGTTTCTTCATTGTTTATTTCTCTCTGCATCATAAGATAATACAGCAATTGAAATGGCTGCTTCGATTTTCCTACGATCTACGAGGCGGCGTGAATTTCAGTCTGCTTCTCTTTCTGCTTACAGATCGGTAAATTCTATTTATTTATCTATTTATTTGTTTCCGAGTGTTTATATGGAAATATGCGTGTTTCTTCTTCGTTTGAGATCATTTCCATCGTTTATTGGATATAAATTTAGGTCTGATTGTAAATCTATGGAGTTATTTTGACTGAAATTGCTTCCGTCTTTTCTGGCAAGATTTTTGCCAACCATTTTTGCGAAGAATCTGTAATAGTTCTTGTACATTCTCACTTATTGTAGATTGTTCATGCGGGTTTATGACAATTTTAAATTGTTAACGCTTTTAGAAACAACATCTTGATTCTAGAAAGTTAATTATCTTCTTGCTTCTTTTTTAATGTAGCAAAATTGTTTCCCAAGGTTTAAAATATCAATGTACAACTCTAGCTACAAATTTGTGGTTTATGGTCTTTAAGCTATACATTGTTCCATTCTCTTTGTCCCGCCAATGGATTTTGTTCGCGATTAATGCTTGAATGGGATCTACCCCATTGATCTAGGTGGTTATTGGTTCAATGCCCTCTTCCCATTGGCAAATTCATGAAACAAAGAAACAATAATGACATGCGTGGCTTCGTAAATCCAGCTTCCTCCTTGTAGAATAAATTAAAAGCATGTACTTCTGTATTTTACTCTTTATTGGGGAAAAAGTTTGAGGGAAGGTATGAAGCTGCTATCATGATCGATGAAAATATATCATTTGGCTTGTTACCTGCCATATGAACGCAAAGGACATGTACTTAATTAGTTTTCATGTTATTCACGGTTTTCTCCGACAAATGAGACATACTTGTTAAAGAAATACATATAGGAAGAACCGGAAATTTGATATCAAGTGTGATGTTCTTGTCAAGGCCTTAACTTTCCATTTATTAACATGTAAACCCTTTACAGCTAATTTAGATTAAAAAAAATACCATTGTAGTTGCAAACTTGCAATTCCCACAAAGAACACTATACTTGAAAGTTATTTTTAATCGCTGTTCTTGGCTTTAGAGTTCAAATACCATTCTAGTTGAAAAAAATCGGGACAAAGATGTTCTCATGTTCAACTTTTCCAAGTAATATCTTTTGAGTTGTTTTAACTTTTAAGTGTTATACTGTTTCTTTTTAAAGGTAATGCCAAGTGTAGTGGTAAGAAAAGTTGATTGTTTTTTAAATAACATTGAGTGGAATATACTAGAAGAGTTCGGTTTAGATACAAGAGTATGGAAGAATGTTTTTCGTGTTCCAAACCCTGTGGTTCTAGTTTTTTCCTTTTAATTAGTTCAATATAAAAATCTGTTGTTTTTGTTGGAGAGGAAGACTATAACCCTGAACCCTCTTCACAGTGTTGTGGTGGAGTGGTTAGTGCCTGGGCAGTTCATAGCGCTGAACCCAGGTTCGAACCCCTCTTCACACATCCTGTGCGACATTTACTAAAGGGGCATGCTTTAGCCCTGGATGTGCCTGGGATTAGTCGAGCATTGGCTCGGATACCCATTTCAAAAAAAAAAAAAAAACCCTGAACCCTCGCATCTTCTACGATTGGTTAATGTTGAGGACATGTAATGCTAATTTAATGTTGTCCAATTGTTGCACTCTTGTTTATTAAGATACCACTAAACATCTCCAGGTGCTGTGACATTATGTTAGAATTTTAGTTCCAGTCTTTTGCTTAGATCATGAACTACTTGTGGAGGATTTGTGTTCAGAAATATTAACAATTTGGCATATCAAACACCTGTTGTTTTGGTAACATCATCTGATTTACCGGTCTTTTTCTTCTTGTAGGTGGCAGGAAATGTTAAATCGTCAGTTTCATCGTTTATGACAAACAAATGGTCAACTGCAGCTAGACCCTTCAGGTAGAGGAACTTCTTATCAGCATTGTACCCACAGATGTAATTATTTTGCTGATGTTTCTTCTTTGTAGCAGCTCAAGGCCGCTGGGGAATGATGTTATTGGTATAGACTTGGGTACCACTAACTCTTGTGTTTCTGTTATGGAAGGGAAGGTTTGCATCTATCCATACTTTCATGTTTATAGGTATTCAAGCATATTTAATTTCGTCATGGTTGAAATTGTAATTTGCTCTGTAGACTGCTAAAGTGATTGAGAACTCTGAAGGTGCACGTACCACTCCATCAGTTGTCGCTTTTAATCAAAAAGGCGATTTGCTCTTAGGAGCGACAGCTAAACGTCAAGCAGTAACAAACCCGACAAATACTTTGTTTGGTACAAAACGTCTAATTGGCAGACGCTTTGATGACGCTCAAACACAGAAAGAAATGGGTATGGTCCCTTATAAGATAGTCAAAGCACCCAATGGGGATGCATGGGTAGAAATTAATGGACAACAATATTCTCCAAGTCAAGTCGGGGCCTTTATTCTTACCAAGATGAAAGAAACAGCCGAATCATATCTTAATAGGCGGGTGGACAAAGCCGTTATTACAGTTCCAGCTTACTTTAATGACGCACAAAGACAAGCTACGAAAGATGCAGGGAGGATTGCTGGTCTAGAGGTGTTGAGAATCATTAACGAACCAACTGCGGCTGCGCTTTCCTATGGTTCAAATGATAAAGAAGGTGTCATTGCGGTTTTTGATCTTGGAGGAGGAACTTTTGATGTTTCTATTCTGGAAATATCAGGTGGCGTGTTTGAGGTATGCTTTCACATTCTTGACATGTTAAAGCAATTACGTGCTCACACACATAGGATTAATTGCAAAAACACACCGTAAGTCATCGACCAATTTGACAAACAACCACAGACCTGTAGTTATCCGATTTAATTAGATAATTCTTTTAGAACTACAAAAGAAATTTATGAAGTATTTTGCCGTATTAGCAGGGCTCAACGGTTATCTTGTATTTGAGTGTGTTTGTGTAGAGCTTTAAGAAGTACTCCCTCCGTCCCGGAACAAATGTCCACAATGAAAAAGGCACATATAATAAAAGATGTGTAATTATTACACTTTTAGCTTTAACAAAAAGAACAATTTTACCCTCAACTATAGAGAGATTTTCTTCATCTCATAATTAAGGGTAGAATGGGAAAGTAGACATTTACTTTTGAAAGTGGACACTTATTTTGGGACGGAGGAATAGTATGTTTGCAATAATAAGTGGTAAACTTGAATTTTAAGATATGATGCATTAATAAGGAGTATTCAATGCTCAATAAGTTAACCTTGTGGGTTAGCTCAACCCAAAATAAGTCTTGTGCCTTTGGGGATTCTCCTCAAAGGTCACCGGTTCGAGTCCTGCAGGAGATTTTCCTGCTTGTTCTCCAAGCCCTGGATTAGTCGAGGTGTGCGCAAGCTGGCCCAGACACCCACTGTTAACACAAAAAATGCTTAATAAATTGTTTTCAAGAGTTTCTACCGAATACTTTATATTATGGTATAAGACTAGAGAAATGTAAAATTTATGTATATGATACAAATTAAAAAATAATGGTAATGTACTATTATCTTTTATCTAAAATAATTTTCTACATATACAGGTAAAAGCGACAAATGGAGATACATTTTTGGGAGGAGAGGATTTCGATAATGCATTATTGGATTACTTGGTGAACGAGTTCAAGACTGCTGAGGGTCTTGATTTATCGAAAGATAAGCTAGCTTTGCAGAGGCTTCGAGAAGCAGCGGAGAAAGCAAAGATAGAACTATCATCAACATCTCAAACCGACATCAACCTTCCATTTATAACAGCAGACGCTTCTGGTGCAAAACATCTAAATATATCATTAACAAGATCAAAGTTTGAAACATTGGTGGGTAACTTGATTGAAAGGACCAGAACCCCGTGCTTGAACTGTCTCAAAGATGCTGGTCTTTCGGCTAAGGAGGTTGATGAAGTTTTGCTTGTTGGCGGCATGAGCCGTGTGCCAAAGGTCCAACAAGTGGTTACTGAGATTTTCGGGAAGAACCCAAGTAAGGGTGTTAACCCTGATGAGGCGGTGGCTATGGGAGCGGCGATTCAGGGCGGCATTCTTCGAGGAGATGTGAAGGAGCTGCTTTTATTGGATGTGACTCCGTTGTCGCTTGGGATTGAGACTCTTGGTGGCATTTTTACTAAGTTGATAAATAGGAATACAACCATTCCTACAAAGAAATCTCAGGTCAGTTATCTTCAATGCGTTTTCATGCCATAGTAGTTATAATTTGTATAAAATGTTTGAGTGATCGACTTTTTCTATATACATCGTTAACTTCCGTTACAAACTAATGATCTTTATTACAGAATGGGAAAAAGGCACCTTAGTTTACAAGAAATGAGTAATTTTTAGGGTAAAATGCATCAAAATGCAATTAAGTTTGCCGTAGTTCCTATTTAGTGTAATAAAGAAAAAAAATTCATCTTTGTAATAAAGGTTCATAATTTCTTAGTTTGTACCCATTTTGACCGGTAACTTTTTGATCTTGTAACATTTTATGACATGGATGTCAAGTTTATTGTCCACTTCGTTGTAAACCTTTCTTAAATGGGCATTAACGTCATTAAATGTTACAAGATCAGCATGTTAACTGCCGAAATTGGTTCAAAAGGAAAATTTGGAACTTTGTTATGTTGATTGAAACTTCTTACCCTAATTTTTACACAAATTTTAGAAATTGTGATTCCAAAATAGAAAATTTTCAGATTGGGGTGTTTCTTTTGCCTTGAAGCATGAATAATGATTTAGCCGAGTATGATGGTTCGAAAGATCAACCACTCTGAAGTATTTCATGCCCATAAATACTACTTATCTCTACAATAATTGTAACTTTTGACTTGACAAACTACAAGGGTGGTGCCTGATTGGTTTGAGCTTGACTCCAAAGGTCAAAAGTACCAGGAGGTCCCAGGTTCAAATCCAAGGAGGAATAAAAGTCCCCTTGTGGCCACGGAGGTTCAAATGCAGCGACTCCGGGCTATCTGCAAACCAAGTGGTCGCCCTGGGATTAGTCGGCGCGCATAGCGGATGGATATCCAGGTTAATAAAAAAAAAATCTTTTTGACTTGACACAGTTCAGTCAGAGCCTTGGGGTAGGAAGAGCCCGTTTGAGTTTCCTGGAGACTACTGGGATTTTTCTAACTGTTATCTGTAGGTCCCATGGGAGTATGTCCGGAGACCCACATTTACCAAAAAAAATTGCGTTTTGTATTTGAAAAAAACAACTGTTGACCATGATCTCGCGAATAAATGCAGGTATTTTCAACAGCAGGTGACAACCAGACCCAAGTCGAAATCAAAGTACTTCAAGGCGAACGTGCAATGGCAGCCGACAACAAGGTTCTTGGCGAATTCGGGCTCGTCGGCATTCCTCCAGCTCCTAGAGGCCTACCTCAAATCGAAGTCACATTCGACATAGATGCCAATGGTATCGTTACTGTATCCGCTAAAGACAAATCTAGCGGCCGTGAACAACAGATCACCATAAAGTCATCGGGAGGACTCTCGGAAGACGAAATTCAAAAAATGGTCAAAGATGCAGAGTTGCATGCACAGAAAGATGAAGAAAGGAAAGTGATTATGGATCTTAAGAACAATGCTGACACTAACATATATAGTATGGAGAAGAATTTGAATGAATATAAAGATAAGATTCCATCGGAGGTGGCTGCGGAGATCGAATCGGCTATTTCCGATCTAAAGAAAGCGAGAGATGGAGAGAACGGTGACGAGATTCAGGCGAAACTCGATGCGGCAAACAAGGCGTTGGCGAAGATCGGGGAGCATATGAATAAGGGGAGTGGGTCCGGGGGTTCGGAGGAGCCAGCACCGGAAGCGGAATATGAAGAGGCGGCGAAGAAATAGGCGTCGGAAAATTCGATTGTTGTTATTATGAGGAATTGAGGTTTAAATTTAGGGATTATGGATGTGTTCAAATTGAGTTTTGAGGGTAACAGGAGGAAAGGGAGATACAAAGGTTGGTTGATCTTTGCATCATATGTTTTGATGCTATCATTTTTTGTTGTATAAGAAATGATTTATATTTGCTAATAAATTAATATACACACCATTTACGTTTTACAAGTTATGTGATGATTCATGTTATAAAACTATTAGAAGGGTATTCGCACAATGTAGTGAGATACATTTTGATTTTAATATTTTATTATCTCAAATCGATGTTATATTGTCTTATGTGATTTTGAAAAAGCGATAATGTTTTTATTTTTTTAATAAAATATAAATCTAAAGATATCATAAAATTTTGACAAAAATATATCGATATTAATATCAAATTAACTATTTAAAATCTTTATTTTTATATAATTTTTAATTCAAATTTTTTATTATAATTTAATTTTAGGTTCAATAACAAAGTAATTTATATTTGGTTTAATAATATAATTTTCTTATAATGATAATAATTAATTATTTTGTTAGAATTCAATAATCATCCTAATTATTTTTTAAATTTTTTATATTTTAAAATAATATGTTTATCATCTATTTGATTATGTTTATCCGCAGTTAGTTACACGAATTCAAATATGGAGCTTTAATAAGTTGTAATTATGCATAATTTACTTATAATCTTGAATTTTAAGTAATATGCATCTATATACGGTACTTCATGCATAAAAAATAGTTTTTAAGAGTTTTTGTCAAATCTTTATAATATAGTATAGATTAGAGATTTTTCTGACTGTTATTTAAAATCCTATAACAGTTAGTCAAAGTATGTACAAACTGAATCTGAACATCAAATAAAAAAGCAATACGACTCAACTTTCTTAAGCTCATGCTTATAGACAGACGTAGCTTAGGGCCTGTTTGTTACCAGTATATTGAGACTCAGCTTATTTGGTTAGTTATACATGTTTGGTAATGACTTAATAATATAGAAACTGACTTATTCGGTAAGCTTTTAAGAGAAATTTTATGTAAAAAGCCAAAAAAAAAAATTCCAAACTTATCCCTCCCAATCTTTAAATTATTGTTTACAAGTCATTATTGTTTTCATACATGTGATTTATAATTCATTGTTGTTTTAGTCTCTCATGGTGACGCCTTGACGGTAAACCATTGATGGAGTTAGTCTTATAGACGAAAATAGCAATAAATTACAGATAATAGGGGATAAAAACCATAATTTCAAAAACGCAGGGACTAAAGTCGTAATTTTTAACAAACAAACAGGGAATGAAACAAAAAAAAAAGGAAGTTCTTGGAAAATCAGAAGTCAGTTTCTTAGAAATTTCGCCAGCAAATTTCTTCCGAAGGTATATACACCGACTTTGCTTCGATCAAACAATCAAAGGTTTATCCGTCGCCGGCACTGTTCATTGGCGATCTTCTCCGACGTAATCAACATACAAGGATTATTAACTTCTGCAGGTAATCAGTCTTCACTGATTTGAGCTGTTTGCTTTGATCACGATGTCAGTTGATTTTTAGCCAATACTTTTGTTATAGCTCTTCCTTTTTATCTTTGATGTAATCGTTCGATAATTTCATTTGAAAGGCCGTAATCGTTCGATATTTTCCGGCTTTTCCTTCAATTTTTTGATCGAAGTTCCCTTGAACCTTTCGACGACTAGGTCTTCCATTTTTAGCTCAACTTAATTTAATTGTACGGATAATGGTTATGAAAGAATTTCGTAACCGTAGTTCTGGTCTCTTTTGAAAAAGAGAAGATCTCATGTAGTCATGTTTGAGTTTGTGAACCGAAATCATCATCTTCAGGGCTCTTAATAGAAATTAGTTTCTCTAATTGTATTTCGATGACAGAAAAAAATGCTTTTTGTAAAATTTGAGGCTAGGGAACTAGAGAATTAGTTACTAGATTTATGCTTGAGCTGCATAAGACTTTGGGCTGGACGAAGTGGTTGCTGCAGTTCAAACCATCTTCTTGCATTATTCTATGCAATTGCTTATTGAATTTTGTGGCCATTTAACATTTTTTTTCCCAATGATTATAGCATAAACTTTGTACTATTTAGGAACTATGAAGAAATGGAAGTTTTTGTTATATTAATTGTTGTAACTATTATATCATCAGTACGATTAGATGCAGCATGCAAGTAACCACAACAATGAACAAACATAGAGAGTCACGATATGTTTATGTGGTTCATGAACGCATCTACAGAAATAATGCATATGTTGTATGTTCAGTATTTGCATAACATGTTCTATGGAAGTGCTTTTTAGCAAGTATGTTCATATATACGGTAGAATATGTTTCGGTATTATGAGCATGCCATGTTTTTTTGTCTTGGTTATTTTCATATGCAAACTAACTCACTAGGCTTATTGGCTGACTAGTGTCATGTATCTCAAGAGAAGGCTCAACAGGAAGTAGCAAGAGTAATGGAAAGGTCTAGTTGAACCCTAGGCAGGGTTTGCCAGTTTCGGATACAGTAGTTGTCAGTTATTGTTCTAGTTTGGTATGAAACAAACTAGAATTTTTTAGACTTTCATATTGTTTTTGGTTTTAAGACTTCTTCTGTGTAAGTTTGATTTCAGTTCGAATGTTTGAGAGGTTTTAGTTTACTCAGTCTTTATGTTTGTAATTTTTTGATTATATTCGGATGTTATAAAATATGTCGTAAGTAAAGCTTTAGCGGTAATGCCCTTCGGTTTAGGGAAGGTGTTATAGTAGCGCACTCTTCTTAAGTACACTTCTGATCTCTTAGCAAAGAAATATTCTTTCTGTTAAATTGATTCTTTTCTCTCAAGATATCTCAATCTAGAGACCTTAATCTTAGATACTTGGAGGTTGGAGCTATCTAATATATTCTTTGAATAGAATAATCAATCACAATTCTCCCTTCTCTTAACAAGTCATATCGCAATCTCCATATATGTACTTTAGATTATTTGTGATCATATATTGTTGAGTTGTGGAGTTTGATATTGCAATCTCCATTCTCAATTATAGATATATCTCCTTGTAACTGAAAAAGACCCTAACTCAGCCGAATCAATCTTATTGATTCACTAGCACAGCCATGAAGTAGGTCGCTCTAACTGAACCACATACTCATTGTGTATTTTTGTTCTTTGCTTGTTTTCTATTTCTGTTACCATAATATTCTTTCTGCATGTGAACCTGTATCCCCACATGTAACACCTCAAGCCCAAAGCAACATAGTTGTTAAAAGGCTCTGAGGCTCATAGGGCTCAAGGTCTTGGGCTTTTTTCAAGTCGAGGCTCAGCGCATTCACGAGGCTCACTAAGGCACTGCGCCTTGTGGGCCTAGGTGCGCCTCATAAAGAGTTACTAAATACCTAGCTAAACCCTAAAATTAAATAAGTTTTCTCATCTCCTAGATTTCTTAAAAGAAGTGGTATTAAATAGATGACATAAGTCAAACCCTAATACTAAATACCAAGTCCTTGGAAGTTAGAACTTCAAGCCTCCTTCTCTATAAATACCCAGACCTTAAAATTTCTCCTTCACGGCGTACGCTTTAAACCCTTCTGCCTTTATCAAAGTACTGTTTGCTGCATTGGAGACTTGGTGTGCATACCTGTGTGTGTGTATTGATAAGATGCGCTCGCATTCCTGAGACCTGCACCTTATGCCTGCTCCTCGCTCCTCGCTCCTCGCTCCTAGGCCCCGGGACCCCGTTGCGCCTAACGGCCTAAGTGTGCCTGGAGCCTTTAACAACTTTGCAAAGCAGTAAACTAGTTGAATAACTTTAAAAATCAATTGGCATGGAGGATCTTATTGGTAGTCCACAACTTAAGACTAATAAGAAGCTCACAAATCTTACTTCTGTCAATGGGGGGTGGATTGTCACAAACTGCGACACTTAAAAGCCTGACATCCTCATCAAGCCTACAGAGTCAATACCCCAAGAGGTGCATGAGCCCAACTCACTGCACCTCAAGAGTCTATTTTTTCAATACAATACATAACTTCCCAAGCCCGATGCAGTAAATTAGCCCAGTAACTTCTAAATCAACTTAAAACCATGATAGAAGTTATTGGTAGCCCACAATATAAGTTATATAAGAAGCTCACAAATATCACTTTTTATCAATGTGGGATAGGTTGCCGCTTTACAGGTTTGAGGTTTCCTAAAATATATGACCCACTGAGACTGGACGTATCTTTTTGTTAAAAACGGTCTCTTTGAATGTTTCGTATATTCATGGGCTAAAAAAATGCCAATATATTAATGGGAAAAAAATCCTGCCATAGCATAAATGATTTCCATGTTTAGTTGGAAACATGCACGGCCACCAAAGAAGTTGAATTTATACCAAGGATTTCTTTTTGTCCTTTTGTGGGAGAACCATTGCATTGTTTCAATGCTGAACTGAGGCTTCTATCTATTTGATTGCCAATATTGTTTTAGATCAGATTTCAGTCTTTCTGCTAGTTAAATCATATTGTAACTGGTAGCAGGTAGTTTTTTGTTGGTGAGAATCAAAATGGAGATGGAACAGGAATCAGAGTGGAATGCAGCACAGAATATCTCGATAAGTGAAGATCTTGTGACTGCTGCTAAGCATCAGCTGCAATTTCTTGCAGTTGTAGACAGGAACCGGTGGCTTTATGAAAGCCAGTGCTTGCAATGGGCAATCTATAGGTAAATCAAGGAATTAGATATTTATGTAAATAATAACTTCTTTTGTACTAATAGATTGATGAATATCTAAACTTCTGTGGTTATTAGCACAGGAGTTTGAGGTTCACTAAGTCTGTCTAAGTTTCTTGTTGGAAGGAAGTTTGCAGTTCTGATATGTAGAAAGTATATTTTGCGTGTATATGTTGAGATATAACATTTACAAACAAGACTACATACAAATCTTTGGGTATAGGTCGGGTCTGCCTACATCTTACCCTTCCCAAACCCCACCCCACGTCTGGGTAGGATATACTTTGTTCTTTTCGTTTGGTTTGGTTTGGTTTTAACATACATATCATGCTCATTATCCTTGTCCATGATTTCATTTTCAAGAGTATATTACTATGTGGTGAGGATATTGAATTGCTTGTGACGTTCTCTTTTGGAAATTATCGCATTCAAGAGTATATTACTATGTGGTGAGGATATTGAATTGCTTGTGACGTTCTCTTTTGGAAATTATCGCAATCTCGGTAAACTCGATTTCAGGTACAATGCATGCTGGCTTCCGTTGGTTGCTAAACATTCCGAGTCTCGGGTTACTGAAGGACCTTTAGTTGTTCCGCTTGACTGTGAATGGGTTTGGCATTGTCACAGACTCAATCCAGTAGGATTCTGAACAAAAATCTTCCTTGCTTCAATACTTGTTCTTGGATGGTTATACATATGGAGACTGAAAATGTTTTTGTTCTTGATATCTTTGTCAGGTTAGATATAAATCTGATTGTGAAGAATTTTATGGAAGGATTCTTGACAACTGTAATGTTGTGTCTTCTGTTCAAGGAATATCAAGTAGGGATACAGAAGAAATATGGAGCAAATTATACCCTAATGAGCCCTATGACTTTGACTTGGCACGTCCTTCCTCGAGTGAATTTTCAGAAACTGTATATGGAACTCAAAGCTTTTCCAAGTACAATTTTATTTTAGCTATTGAAAGACAGAGCCCGTTCTTTTATCAGGTGACCCTGAAACCAATTATTTTATGACATGCTTTACACTTCAAGCTGGCTAAGCACAACAATCTGCATCATTTTTTCTCCCTTCTCATTTGTTTATTTATGATGATGATCAGTTTCATCATGTATTCATATATTATTTGGAGATTAGTTACTCTGACTGGAGACGATCTGAAGCAATCATATTATATATATATTATATATATATATGTATGTATGTGTGTGTAGTGCTCCATCAATAAGTGTCTGCAGTCCCAATCAATTCACCATGATATAGTTGTATCCGTTTCCGGCCTTTTGGGATTGTTTAGGAGAAGAATCTTTTGGTTTTTGTAAGTGCATGACCTTTTGACAGATTTTGAGGCATTTTTGTGTTAGGTGAAGCATTCTTAATTCATAATGTCACCTATTTAAGAAAATCAAATTACCCATGTTCTTGGATGATGATAACCTAAAGTACATACCTGTTGCGTCAATGAAAGTATGACATCACATACTGTTGTAGTTACTCTTGTCAAACATTGAGTGTTAGTCTATTAGCTTGGGTATTGTGGGGGATATAAAACTTCCAATTGTCATTCATGTTGACTATATCTGTTTAGCTTAAATTTAACCTAATCTCATACTAATGGCTCTACATTTGAGGTTTATTTACTTCGTAAGCAAATCTTGAACAAGTTGGAGCTTTAGTGAATATAAGATCTCAGTAAATAAAGCTGTTCTTTGTCTTCCTAGTTGTGTATCCATTCAATGCAGCAGATGTAAAATCTTATTGTATCCTGAGGATGGAAAATTAATGAAATTCCCATTAAAAAAGAAAATCAAAATTTATGGAGTATTATGCCGTATTAATAGGACCTAATGCTTATCCTGTATTCAAATGTGCTTATCAGTTGGTTTTATGAAGGTCAAACATGAAGCTTTAAAAATTGTACGTATGCAGTGTAGTAACAAGGTGTAAATTTGAAATTTAAGAGATTATCCACTAAGAAGCAGTACATAATGCAGAATAATTTGTTTTTTAAGAGTTCTTGCCAAAGGCTGTATAATATTGATAGATAATTCAAACCAAACTCCCTGTGTCAGGTATCCAGACCTCATGTGAACAATGATCTCTTTCTTCAAGCAGCTTTTGCAAGATATAAAGGTTTTTTGCATCTCATCAGGAGAAACAGGGAGAGATCCATAAGACGTTTTTGTGTTCCAACTTATGACATTGACCTGATTTGGCATACTCACCAGTTGCATCCTGCTTCCTACTGCAATGACCTAGTAGAATTACTTGGGAATGTTCTAGAACATGATGACACAGACCAAAACAGAGGAAAAGGTCAGAAGCTGGACACGGGGTTTTCTGAGACTACCAAGCAATGGGAGGAAACATTTGGTTCAAGGTATTGGAGGGCAGGGGCTATGTATAGAGGCATTGCCCCATCTCCTATCACTACCACTCCTTGCATACCAGAAATTGCGAGCAATAAGGCTGATTCAACTAATGAACTAGAGAGATTGATTGATATTCCTAAAACGAATTACATCGAGGTAATTCTGAGGTTTTTTGAATTTTTTAATATTTTTTTGTTTTCCATATGCATCTTCAAGGTACTTCCATTATTTGCTATGCTTTGTTGCAGCTTTTATGCCTATAAGTTGATTTAAATTTTCTCTATTACTTCCATATCAAATGGGGATTTCCCGTGTTTAGTACTCCCTCCATCTCTGAGTGTCCACGTTTCTATTTCAATTTAAGTGCCTACTTTCTACTTCTACTCTTTATTATAGGATGGAGAAAGTCATTATTCCATCTATAATTAAGGGTAAAATTGTCATTTAATTAGTTAAAAAGTGTAATAATTACACGTTTCTGATACTATGTGCCTTTTTCAATGGAGACATTTACGACGGAGGGAGTAACAGAATTTCATTTTCTACTTGAGAAACTGTTCATGCTTGCAGCTCTTGTTTGATCTACACAAATGCCTCTCTCTTAAACAATTGAGTCAAGTCAGTCAACCTAAATTGTGTTACTTTTGGGTCCAGATCCTTTTGCAGTGTGTGGAAATCAAAAACTTACCAGAGATTCATAAGGGAAAAGTCGGTGTCTTGTTTAGTAAGGCACAACCCGATGGAATCTTCAATGTGAAGCGGAAACTCTCCATCCAGTCCGAGTTGGGTCAGAAACAGGTTGCTGTATTTCAGTGTCAACCTATGGGATATTTGTTCTTTGAACTTGTCTCTCAATCAAAAAAGACCAAAACTCTGGGTTCCTGTTTTATATCTATGGAAGAACTTTCTGGCCCTGTCTCTAAACTCTCGGTAGAAAAATGGTTGGATGTGGTTCCTAGTTCGGGCACCGTTGGCTCTGAACCTATCCAGCTACGAGTTGCAGCCTCATGCACCTTGCCAACTCCAGCACCACATGTGGTTCAGATGCTACGTTCTTCCCCTCTTTCAAAAACTCATTGCTTTTTCCCACTTTGCGGTATGGTGCGATTCACTAGGAGTTGGACACGGATTATAGATGCAGCTGGCTATGAGATCATTAGACTTCAAATGAGGTAATTCTATTATTATTCGGTCCTCATAAAAAACATGTGTTAGAGAAACTTAATCATCTGTACAGCAATATGTTGATTAGAATGATGCCTTTAATATCTAATGCATTTTCTCTATTTAATATTTTGATTTTCTGGGTCACAATTAGGCTATGGTTGGCAAACTAGCTGATAACCTAGCTGGCGGTTAATAAGCTAGTCATGTTTGGTAAAAATTAGCTAATAAGCTAGATTACAAAGTAAAATGACTAGAAGGACATGTTAGAAAATGAACTGTCAAAGCATAAGGGGCATAATTGGAAAAAGTGGGGGAAAAAGCCCTGGAGCTTACTGAAACGGAAGTAGCTTTTCAAAAATCTAGCTTATGGCCAACTAAACAAGGCATTTCTGACAAACATGACCCTCTATGGTTATCTTATTGTGGCTTGGGCCGTTTCAGAAGATAGAACAAATGAATAAAGGAGAAAATTGATATAAAAGGAAACCTAATTTACTTCCATTGACAGGGAGAATAAAAAGTCGGCGAAAGAGATATTTGGGCTCACAAGAACAGGAGAAACACTTGTTCTTGCTCAATTTCTTGGGAAAGAGTGGTCAGTGATGGATTCTTTATGGTCTTTTAAGCTTCCGAATAGCAATGACCAAGATGCCCACCTCCTGCTCACTGGCCCACGAATGGTGAGCATCACTTGTTTGTATATTTAGGGTGCGTTTGGTATGCAGACCACACTGAACAGGACTTGATGGGACTGGATGGGACAGGACTGAACGGGTGAGGGTGAGTGGTATGTGGGTAAAAGAATTGTGCAAAGTTTTAATTTGACATGGGTTGTTTAGTAATTCACCAATTTTGTCGCAAGACCCTGATTTTTTGTTCCACTTATTTTGGTGAGACAAAAAAATGCATTATGTTCCACTCAGTTTTGTCCTGTCTCAGTCTAATGTCACAGCAAACGTGGGACAACGAGTTCTTTTTGTTCCGTGCTGTTTCCTTTTGTACTTCATACCAAATGCACATGTTCCATATTTCTTGTCCTTTTGGACATCAATGATAACTGTTTATTATTATACAAGGTTAAACTAGTTTCTGGCAGAAAGCTCGATTATGAACCAAAACACAACGACAAGCGAGGAGACAAACACAGTTTCATGACAGCAGTTGAGTTCTCTGCCGACCACCCATATGGGAGGGCCGTAGCATTGCTTGACCTCAAATCTGGACTTTTGACGGTATCATCATCTTTCATTCAAAACCTTTTACGAGTCAGTGGTCTTTACACAAACATCCTCTCTACTCCATTGGGGTAGAAGTAAGGTCTGCCTACATTTTATCCTCCCTGAACCCTACCCCGTGTAGGATTTATTGGATTGGTCTTATCTATTCATTCAGCACTTTTTACAGAAATAGCCTCTCTACTCCACGGGGTAGAGCCAGGTAAGATCTGCACAAATGACCTCTCATAGACTTGCAATTTTTACTTTTTGTTCTCAATTTTTACAGTTACAAGAAGAATGGTTTGCATTGCCTGGAATACTGTCGGCCTATATAGTTTCTAAGCACTTGCAGTAAGGAAGGATATGATAATTGGCTCACTTTACACTCCACTTTTTGTACAAATTTGAAGTCTGCACAGAAATAAAAAGTTTCAGAAAATACTCAGGAGGTTGTAAATAGTATTCACTTTTGCATTCACAGGATGCCATAGTTGTCGTCTTCTCTAGAAAACCGAAGCTTTTTTGTACCTATTCGTTTTCCTTTGTATCTTACCACCTCCAAGGTTTCAACTGACCGCTACAAAAGAATTACCAGGCATCACATAAAAGGTTTTGGTGTTAATAGATGGTAACAGTTTGTGTGTCGTATTTTGTTTCTTAGCGATATTTTTTTGTGTGGTTGAAATAGAAACGGTAAAATATCGTTTATGTAATCATCATTGTGCCGTTTTTATCGATGTTGTGTCAAGTTATTGTGCCTAGGGGTGTTAATAAGTCGAGTCGAGGTTATTCGAGCTCGGCTTCAAAAATATTACCTAATTCAAGCGTGAATTACTCTTTTACAGTAGGACTAGGACTCTAGCTTGAATATTTTTTTCATTGTTCGGTTCGAGCTCGATACTTGTTTACGGGCTCAAGATCAATTAGTTCACCTATTGGCTTGACCTAAAAAATTTATACTTTGATTATATGATTAGTGATCGTATGAACATGTTTTACTTGAGAAGGTGTATGCTCGAGTGACTCGATTCGATTAAAAAAATTTAATCGAGTTGTCGAACAAGCCGAGTCGAACATTGGTGTTATGAAACTCGACTCGTTAAGTTAAACGAGTTTTTGTGTGTATCCAAGAAAAACTCGAGCATGAAAATTATTAAGTGTATTTTGTTTCCTAGTTTTCTTAACAAAACGTAGCGTCATGACATATTACCATACCACGCTATCAAGTCTTCTCACACAACGATCTTAATATAGACGACTGGGTCTATTAGACGAAGGATCATGTGAGAATAGGAGTTCAGATGAGAAGCGTAAGAATGGATTGGACCCTTGATCATTAAATTTAACTCACTCCTATCCCATGAATTGTCTTTCTCAAGGGAATCGATCTGGTGGATATCAGTACATCTCATTAGTGTGATGTTCAACTATGATTGATCCAAGGGTGGTGATTCATTCTCACTTTCTCACCATAACTTTTATTTTTACTAGAACTCGACACGTATGTAGTACATAATATTCGTATGTCATACCAAAACCAACCTCTTCTTAGGACTCTAAACAAACTGAACGAATACGAACAGAGGTTTGTTGTCTTCGTTCGTTTCAAACAAACTAATGGTTTATCAACAAAATGTTTGTATTTATGTTCATTTGTTAAGAAAATGTGTTTTTTCGTGTTTGTTTGCTAAGATGACATAAACGAATGAACACAAATGAGAAAAAACAACCACCATTGGTCAAATCATTTCGTTCTTAAAGAAATAACAAAATGAAAAACGAGGTAAACTTACAACTGATAAAAAAAATTCTAAAAATTTAATTTAATTAATGATTTACATATTAATGTCGTATAAGTAGGTTCAAATAAAAACCAATTTTTCATCGTAAACTAATGGATAAATCTTGATCGTCGATCAAATTAAGAAAATTAATCAAGGGTTAAAATATAAAATGGTTAATTAATAAGTTTGAATCACATGCCTCACCTTATTTGACCTTCTATTTTCTCTTTCAATGGAAAAACTTTTATCCCTTTAATTTATAAACTAAGGGGCCGTTTACCAAACATTTGTCCGGTAAGTGTTTGCCGGTGAAATTTAACATTATTATTTAGTTATCTGGTAAGATTTTTAGTCCACAAAAACGACATTGTATGCAACAATTTACCCGGTAAACGCTTATCATGGTAAGAGTCATTGCCCTTACTTACCGGGTAACACTCTTGGTCTTTGTCTCGCTCTTACTGGGTAAGATTCTTGGCCCTTACCATATTCATCCGGTAAGGTAGTGTGACTTGGTAAGTGTGGTAAACAGCCCCTAAATCATCTTAAAAGTAATTAATATTTTAATAAAAAAAGTTTTATAAAAACGAGCATTTCATTCTCTTCAATTTGACATCTATCTCTTATAATTTCTTTTTCTAGGTTCCAATGTCATTAATGGGTTGTTACAACATAAACGAACGAGATCATTGTCCATGTTCATTCATTTAACTAAGCTAACAAAAATAAGTATTCATGATCATTCATTCATTAAATAAACGAATTTTTCGACAAACAGTTCCATAAATATTCGATTCATTTACAACCCTATCTATAACACATAGATTGAATATGTGGCTTATCAGATAAGATATATATGCAACATGAATATTTGCTATACTAATTGAAACAAAATATTCTAATTAAATAATAATTAAAACAAACTTTATTAAATTTTTAATGCCAATAAATACACTTTGATGATTTTGCCTTAAAAATTGTTACTTCTAATTGCTGATGTGATCAATAAGGGCCGTTTATCAAACACTTACCTGGTAAGTGCTTACCGGTAAAATTTAACACTATTATATACTTACCGGATAAGATTTTAGTCCGCCAAAACGACATAGTATACAATAATTTACCTAGTAAGCGCTTACCATGGTAAGAGTCGTCGGCCTCACTTACCGGGTAAGGCGTTTGATCCTTGTCTCGCTCTTACCGGGTAAGATTTTTGGTCCTTATTATATTCATCCGCTGGGATAATGTTACTTGGTAAACGCTGGTAAACGGCCCCTAAGTTTTTTGAAAACTCCCATAAAAAAACATCATATGTTGAGGGGTGTTAAATTTGTACAATGACAAACAAATCAATCGTATCAATTTAATTGGTACCAACTAAATTGGTTGATACTATCATACCAACTTCACAAATTTGGTTGGTACGTAATGTTGAATATCGTATATCATGGTAATATCATACCGGCTTATATGTGTATATATATACATATATTATTTATTAAATAAAAAACCAATTAAGTGAATTATATTTAATTATTAATGCATTTGATTGTTTTTAGAGGAATTTATTTATTTATTAATTAACATTTTATCATTTACTCGGTTACTGATTTTAGTGACTTACTATGTGTTAATTACTGGTTAGGGGTGAATGCCTCATAACAACTCCAAGGGGACGTTTGGTTCGCAGAATGATTTCTGAAGGAATGAAAATGTTAAAGGAATTGGAATGTAATGTTCGGTGAATATGAATGGAATGTAATCTGTCTAATGAATTGGAATCTTTTTGTTTGGTTTGCAACATAATTGAAATGAAAAATACCCTTTCTTTGTACCACCTATATGAGTTGTAGAATCAGATTCAAGAACATATGAACTGCAAATGATAAATAAACCCCTAAATAAAATTTGAATAAAAAAAAGAAGCATAAAGGGAGATCGATCGAATATCTGCTTGGGGAGATCGATCGAACTTTCCATCGTCGATCTCCAGAATGGAGGCAAAATTTGGGTAGAAAGTAATCAGGAGAATGGAACCAGTTGTCATGGGGTATTTTTGTAATTTACACAATTTTAAATGAAATGGATTTCAATTTCATCAGTTTTAGAAAGAAATGATGAAATCTTCAAATGATGGAATCTTTGGAATTCAATTTCATTCCATTGGTAACCAAACGCTGGAATGGAATTTGGTCAACAAAATTGACCATTCCAATTCCATCAAATTCCGACGGATTCCGACGAACCAAATGCCCCCCAAGTCTCTAACTCAATAATCAATAACCCTAGTTTCCTTCTCTTCTTAATGCACGTCTCCACTCTAGGTTCATATTAAATTATTTGGACAACAGATTATACTCATGTCAGTGAATTTGTAACTGTAATTTCAACTTTTGAGATGTTGGTACAAAACTGTATCAACATGTACCAACCAAAAAAATTTAGTACCAAATAAGTTGATAGCAAATAGAGTTGGTTGATACACTGTATAAATATTTGTGTACCAATTATAAATGATTGATACACAATATTCAGAAGAAGAAGAAAAAGAAGCATGACATCCCACCATTTTCACCGTTACATTTATGGATGCCTTTTCAAACATAATTTTCACGACTTCAATATCGATGTACTTTTACATGTTTTTAGTTTTGTACTTTTAGTCGAATAATCTTGTATCGTCTTAATTCACTTATAATTAAATATATCATATAAATAATTAATAATAATTAGACTGTTAATATTTCTTCGTTATAATTAATTATTTCTTTCATCCTTTTATTCCACATTCATCATAATATCACCAATACAATCACAAGATTACCAGAAAAATATATGTTGTGTGGAATTAAGTACAAAATTTACGCAACTACATACATAAAATCAATTAAAAATGTAATACGTATTTTATCAATAATATGTCATAATACATTTGTTGCTTTAGTTAAACTACCATATCTGCTATCTGCTATTATCGAAATATTTTACTTTATTACATTTAAAATTACCATCCTACTTTAATTTAAATTTTATGATATTTTTTGTAATTTTTAATTGGTTATTAAGCTTAAAGTTCATGAAAAACTTGATTAAAATATAAACAAACATATATAAGTTGAATAAATACATGATGTTTTTATTTGGTAATACAAGAGCTTCAAAAGTTATGTTAAAATAATAATGTTGGTCTTTTTTGCTTATTCAATAAGTATCTTATAATCTAAGTTAAAATAAAAGGAAAGAAAAAAATAAATTCTCCAAATTTACAAAATCTCTAATATATATATATATATATATAAGAGAAATAATATTCCATTCTTTTCTACCAATAAAATGATATAATTTTGATTTTAAGAGTTTCTTTATTTTTAAGATTATTAGAAAGGTACTTGTACAATTCAGTGAGATATATCTCGATTTTAATTTTATTTTTGTTTTATTCCATCTCTGTAAATATTTTAATACGGTTTTTATGTAGTTTTGAGAAAATGATAATGTTTTATTTTTGAATAAAATATAAACTTGAATATATCATAAAATTTCAAAAATAAATATATCAATATTAGTATCAAATTAACTATTTTTATTATAATTTAACTTAGATATAATAATATAACTATTTATAAAGAAAATAATTAAGTATTTTGTTAGAACTCAACGATTATCCTAGTTATATTTTAGATTTTTTATATTTAAAATAAAATGTTTATCTTGTATTTGACTATATTTATCTACAATTAGTTATACGAATTTAAACATGAAGCTTTAATAAATTGTACTTACGCACAATTTATTTGTAATCTTGAATTCCAAATAATATGCATCAATAAACAATAATTCATGCATAAAAAATGATTTTTAAAAGTTTTTATCAAATATTTTATAATATAATATAGATAATATAATTATATTATTAAAATATTCAGTTAATTTTATAAAATATTATTTCTCTTTTTTAAAGTTTTAATTTCAAAGATTCTTTAAAAGGTAAAAAAAATAACTTCCTTTTTTTCTTTTATAAGTAACCATTTTTGGATATTTTTCCAAATTTAAAGAGTTTCAACCATTTTCTCCTTTTTTATAAAAGGTTTGAAAATCTCCAAGATTTTTCTTTTGAATAATTTATCGAAGATGCTCTAAATAAATTATGGGTCTGTTTTTTTTTTTCAAAATTACATCTTAATATCTCTAAAATCTAATTTGTTCAGACATTTGGGTATTGAAAGTGTTTGTTTATTTTTTAAAATAAGAGTATAAAAGCTCTAAATATCATCTAAAATTTTTAAATTGTAAATGTATCGTTTAATATCTCTTAATCCTAATCCGTCCTCCATCACACGGTTCATATTTTGAAGGTTGTAAGAGATTTATTAGCAAAAACTATTCATCTTTTATACTTTTGTAAGAACTATTTATTTTTTATATTTTGTTCTAGTTTAATCGATTCAGATTTCAGACTTCAGAAATAAAAACAAACAATCTTATTGATCCGGATTTCAGACTTCAAAACTAGCTCTTATAAATCAGAAATGAAATCAGATTTCAGAATTCAGCATCTTTTTGAAAACAAACGTTACCTACATATATCGTAAATCAAGCAAAATCCCACAAGAAGGAATCAATTCAATCATTTTTTAAATAATTTATATTACATTTTAAATGAGAAAGAAATTTAATAAACTGTAATCATAATAATTAATTTTATAAGTTATTCACAAAATGAACCAATCGGGCAAAAACTTTACTACACGTTGAATCCAATTATAATTCAACATTTAAAAACACAATAAAAACCCAAATATTTGCACACAAAATTTTGAAACACAAGCACAATCCAAAAAACCAAAAGAATATCGATGACGATATACCCTTAATTCAAGCATCATGCTGGGCCCCAGTGCCATCATGATTACACGTAGCTCCCATCATCACCGTTGGAAGTTGTGACTCCCCTCTCGCTGCGTCGTAGCTTAGCGGACTCCCACTCATTGGAATATTCGGTTGTTCTTGAGCAACTACCGGAATAAAACCATAACCCACCGGCTGTTCCCTGTTACCACCAGGAATAAAACTATACACCACCGGTTGTTCCCGGTTACCAACTCCTCTGTACTCTCCAGCCTGGAAATATCCGCTTGAAGGCATTGGTGCTCGATACACAAACGGAGTCGGAAAAACGTAGCTACCATGTGTCATCGTACGGTTATCCAGAACCGGCACCGGAATTTCCTGAATCTGCTTCTGAACGCCATCGGCGATACCGACATTCTCCGGTGGTGAAACGACCGTATCCTTATCTTCAGGATTTTTCACGACTGTCGTATAATTAAGCGAATACTCCTTATCGAAACCGAACAAAAAATCAGGATTCACCGACCTGGAAGCGACAGGCGTCGTCGTCGTCGTCGCCATCTGGAAAAAAACGAACAAACGTAGCCTCGGAGGTGTGGCCGAAATGCGACGGAGGAGATCGTACTCAAACATCATGTTCTCGACGTCATCGTCATCGAAAATGGAAATCAAAGCATCGAGATCCTGTCCAGGTAACTTATACTTCAATCGAATTTCGTAATAATAATCGCAAAGAGCGTTCAATTTGGCGAGCAAGTTGGAGAAATTGATGTTGCGATCGATTGTTAAAATCTTAGTATCGCCACCGACGTAAGAGAGTTGGCGGTCATGAGGGCGGTGATGAATCTTTCCGCCATAACTGCACATCAATTTCACTTTCTCCATTGAAAGGCAAAGGTTTTTGGGATAGTGGTGGATGGTAGTAGGGTTTGTGTTGCATGTTATAACGAAACGTCAATATCAAAGACGTTATATGATCGTGACCGTCCGTTATGATCTGGAATTGTAACGTAAAAACGTGGGTGGGCTCCACGCGGAATTCCGTGGGACCATGATGATCTGGGATGCTCCTTCATTTGACCGATCCTTGACTTTTCTGTTATCTTTTATTTTTGGAACTTTTTCTTTCAATAATAGAATTTGGTTTATTAAACAAATTAACAAAATAAGATATAATTTAATTTAAATAATTTTTCTTCATAATCTATACTATATTATAAAGCATTTGACAAAAATTCTTAAAATAATTTTTTATACATGAAATACTATATATTGATGCATATTACTTAAAATCCAAGATTACAAGTAAATTATGCATAAGTACAACTTATTAAAGTTTCATGTTTGAATTTGTGTAACTAACTGCGAATAAATATAATCAAATAGAGGATAAATATCTTATTTTAAATTATAAAAAATCTAAAATATAATTAGGATAATTATCGATATCTAACAAAATAATTAACTATTATTTTTATAAGAAATTATATTACTAAACCAAATATAAATTACTTCGTTATTGAACTTAAATTAAATTACAATTAAAAAATTGAATTAAAAAATACACAAAAAATGAGAAATTTTAAATAGTTAATTTGATATTAATATCGATATAATTTTGTCAAAATTTTATGATATCTTCAAATTTAAATCTTATTCAAAAATAAAAACATTATTGCTTTTTCAAAATCACATAAGACCATATTATAACATCGATTGAGATAAAAAATAAAATAAAATATTAAGATCAAGATGTATCTCGTTGCATTGTACGAGTACATTTCTAGTATTATCAAATTCACAAGTTTACACTAATTGAAAGTTTATGCTTTTAATAAAATCATTAAATCACTAGAATATATCAATGATTCAAATTTAAGGTTTTTAAAAGCATGAGCATCTAGAATAGATTCTTTTTAGTTTCTTTTTCCAAAATTGATGATAAAAAATTAAAATGTTTAATAAAATAATATTTAAATTTAACAGGTTTTTTTAGATTATATTATTAAAATATTTAATATATTTAATGTTACAATTAAAAATACATTTATCTCTTTTATAATTAAATTTTAGAGAATTTTTTTTCTTTTTAATTTTTCTTTATTTTAGATAATCTGTTGAAGCAAAAAGTCTCTGAATTCTTCACTTTCTGTATTTAATGAATTTGCTAAGGATGTTATAAGTTATCTTGATATACCTGTGAACATCTCCAATAACTATACTAAAATATATATTTTGCATATGTAAGAGTTTTTTTTCTTTTGCTCCAACAACAATGTTAAAATTGAACCACATGTGTCTGATTGGTTTGAGCTTGACTCCAAAGATCAAAAGTACCAATAGATCCCAAGTTCAAATCGAAGGAGAAATAAAAATCTCCTTGTGGCCACGGAGGTTCAGATGCAGTGACTCCGGGTTATTTGCAAAGTAGGTGTTCCGGGATTAGTCGATTGGCATAGCGGTTTGAATATCCAGGTTAATAAAAAAATATTAAAATTGAGATTAACAACTATGCTGATAAAGAAGATAGAAATCTTCAAATTTGGAGAAATATTTAGAACTTAATATTGAAGAGAGATATATATTATTTTAATTGTTTTCACCAATGAGGTTGACTGTGTTATAATTTTATTACAAACTGTATTAATTAATTTATAGAATATTTTAATAATATAATTAATGTTGAAATTGTTGAAATACAGTAGTTGTTGATTAGATTTAGATGTAAATTATTTTTAGGAATTTTGATTTTAAATACTCTATTTTAGGAAAAATTATGGTATAGTTATTGGAGATGTCGGAGGCGATTACCAAAGGGACAATGAAGTGCACATAGTATTCACTACAATATTATTTTGAATACAATTTCCAAAATGTCATGTCAGCTTTAGTAATTATTCAAAAATTATCATCCATTACTAACGCGACAGAAAAATGTGAAAAGATTGACATACGTCTAAATCCTACAAAAAATAACAAGTCAACAAAATTATTGTCTACTGGAAATTCCTATTATTAAATGTCTATTAATTATATTGTCATTGAAATGTATCAAGTCTAGCAGCTTCTAGTCTAATAAATAATCCAAGACTCCAACTAATTTTCTCAACTGCTTAATGCAATCTAATATTATGATTTTGATCCATTTGGTTTTTATTAGATAAAAAAAGGGTAAATGGACGAACACGCCTCCCATTTAAAGGAACTTTTTAACGAGCGTTAGAAAGAATGACCAAATTCATACGTTTTTACAGACCATGATGACCATATTGTAATTTTGAAGTTGTAGAAACGAAAAGTGTTATTTTAATATAATATAATTGTCATTCTAACAGATTAAAAACAAAAACAGATATTTGTCAGTTAGTGGTGTCATTTTAATTCAACGTTCTTATCATAATATGTGTGTGTGTGCGTGTGTGTGTGCGTGTGCGTGTGTGCGTGCGTGTGTGTAGAGAGAGAAAGGTACGTTCAAATGAAAACTGTGCAATTCTTAAAAACCGTATAAACTAATTTCGAACAATAGGAAAATTCCATTTTTTTCTAATTAAATTTAATCAATAAGGATATATTGGTCATTTGCATTGTTTTCTATTAAATATGGAAGTTATTAATAAATTTTAATTAATAAACATAATAAAGGAAATTTTATAAATGTTAACATTTAAATATTTAATTAAATTATAATATTAAAAATTGAAGTTTGTTATATCGTGTCTCGGTTTATTATTGTCAAGATTCATGAAAATCATAAGTTATTAGATTAATAAATTCATGAAATCAGTAATAGGAAAAAATATATATTCATGAAACCGGTTTCATACATGGTGAAATTGGTGCATGGAGTAAGTGAAAAATGATTATGAAATGRGTGCATGATGAAACCGGTTTCATACATGGTGAAATTGGTGCATGRAGTAAGTGAAAATGATTATGAAATGGGTGCATAATATAGGTGCGTAAACAATCTCATTGGACAAGTGAAACAGGGTGCGTGATGAATAGATTGAGGAATTTACTATAATAGGGTGCATGATGAATAGGGTGATGAATAGGATGCATGATGAAGATGTGGTTGAGTTTACCATTTTGCCCTTTTCGCTATTATAAAATAAAATTTTAATATATATATATATATATTTTAATTTCCTAAAATAAACTAAACTAATCTTGACCATTGATTAAGAAAATGGATGGATGAGATTGGTTTACATGATTTACATAAATGGGGGCGTTTTCATTTGATCGCTCATTTCTCTCTCTCTCTGTATATATATATATATATATATATATATATATATATAGCCATTTAGACTTGACATCATGTGAGACCAAAGGTTTTTCGTGAGATTCGTAAGACTAATTCTCAACCCTTGGATTAGATTTACAATCTGAACATTCATAATCACAAAATTGCCACAAGATTTCTCAAGAATCACAAAAATGTTATTGTGCAACTTTAGACCTTTAAAACATTAGTTTATAAAGTTGATCAATGAACAAAAATTGGTCTTACCGGTCTCACGAAAAACTCTTGGTCTCACGTGAACCCAACCCTTTGACATTTATGCTTATACATATAGAAAATAAGACGAAAACTTGAATGACTAAAATATTTTTGAGTGGTCAAGTATAATCGGTTAATATTTAGATTTCTAGTTAAAGATTGTAATGTCAATTGTTTCTTTAAACATATGTTCAAACCGTTCAACCCAAACCGAAATGTGATGGATTTGTTTGGGTTATACATTCAAAGAAGATTGAATGAATTGCGATTTTTCAAACCAAAATAATTGGTTTGGTAGTTAAAATGACTTCAAACCATCAAATCCAACCCAACCCAGTAACCCGTGTGTACCCCTAGCATGTGATATATTTTCCACTCCACATTCCTTCGAGTCCATCGTCAAACCATTCAACTCTCTTTCTTGTGTTTAGAAAAGCAGCAAATTTGGGCAAAAAAATGGATTACCAGCAACTCCAACTGGTTCGACACGAAAGTCTTCTTCAAGGACATCAATATAAGGGGACATTTTTTGACTCACTTAACAGTTGAGAACTTGAGGCTAGTGGGGACTGAGATCGAACCCAAAACCCACCTTGTATTTCAACGAAATGGAATTACTCGTTTGCTAACTGAGGTACACGTCAGAGGCAAAAAAAAAATAAAAAAATAAAAGAAAAAACTAAAAAGATACAAGAATACAAAAGAATCTTCTGGAAGACGCAAGAAATTAAAAAAGGGAAAAAAAATCCCATTTGAGCTGGATTTTAGTTGGTGATGGTGGATTGAAATCCTGAATGCAAGTGTTTTCAGAATTCTGACTACTGAGAATGGGACAATAAGGACCTTGTTGATTACGGGCCCTTTCCCTGAACCTACTCGTGATCAAGGTATGGAGCCTTGGTGGTCACCGCCTCCTTACGTTATGCTCTTTTTTTTAAATCTTATCTCAAATATTTAAATTAAAATACGTGATATGATATGATATGAAATAAGAATAAGAACAATGTATATTGTGTTTTTATATACTGTCTGATGTAAAATTAAAAATCAAAATGTTTGAAATGTCACATCTGAGATATAAAAATAAAAGTTTTTAAACAGTACGTTACATTTTACATAATCCCAGGATTTCAAATCCTTTAAATCAAACATAGATCCCTTAAAATCCAATCTAATCCTACAAACCAAACCAAACAAAACCTCAGCTCTTTTGGAGATCTGATCAGCCGAGGTTTCACATATCTCACATGGTATGAAAGCTGAGGTATACCATATAATATAAGGACTCGACACACTCTTTCGCCTCTGTTCAAGATGACGTGTTACAGTCCAATATCAACTAGACAAAAATAATTAAACATGTATATATGTAGGTAACTTTCAATCTCTTTATAAAGACTTTTGATGACAATTACCAATACATATTGTTACAATCAACAGCAATGTGCTGGGGTATACACTTTGCAGAGTAACAATATCACCATTTTTATCACATAACAATCGAAAGGATATGCTCTAAATCATCTATCATCAAAATATGATCACCGAGAGGCAATATCGTCTTCCCAAATTCGTTAACGATGCTAAGATGCTTACACGGATCTACAATGATCCCAGTTTTAGCATCCGAATAAGAACCTGTATGCACACTTTCAAACTCGACCAGTTGTTTCATCGGTGCACCTTTAAACGATCCCGGAACTCTGGCAAACACCATCACAACCGAGCTGCCATCAAAGGGGCCATGGTTTTTGACACCGATTTCCATCTGAAATCTCAAAGAATCACAGTGTTCTTCGATTTCATCAACATAAAGATAGTTGGAAGAACCTTCTTTTTGCTGTAATATGTTTCTGGATTTGGTTTTCATGGATTCGAAAACGTGAAGTTTATTGGGTGCAGAGAGGATGTTGTAAGTGTAGTTTGTGTAACTCAGGCCGTGCCCAAATCCGTAAACTATGTCACTGATATAGAAACGGTATGTTCGACCTGGATAACCACGAGAAAGATCGGATCTCATGTTCATATTGTTCATTGGTACGCGTGTGAAGGATTCGGGATACCACGTCATGGGCAATTTTCCACCTGTGTTTGTAACGAAATCAGATCAAAGTTCTGTTAGAAAGAGGGTTTGGTTCCAACTTTTTAGGTTAAAATGAGTATTTTACCATCAATGAGCTGTTAGCAGATAAAATAGTCATGTTTGATAAAAACTAGTTGATAAACTAGATGACAATGTAAAGTGACCTAAAACGATATGTTGAAGATTAATTGGAATGATATAAGAGGCATAATTGGAAGAAGAAAAAAAAAGTGGAAAAAAACCCATGGAGCTTATTGAAATGCTAGTTGAAGTAGGTTTTCAAAAAGCTAGCTTATGGCTAACCAAACGAGATTTTTTCAATAAGCTCAAAAAATAAGCTAGATTATGGTTGCCAAAATGGCCTTCAACAATGTGTAGTATTTTTTGCATTTTCACAACGAGCACGGTTTGTTTGGAACAAAAAACCAAATATGATGGTTGGGAAGGTTGGTACACCAAATCGGTCAGAACCCACAACTTTGCCGCTCAACTTTTGATGACATACCGAAAGTTATTAACCAAACCATACGAGCATAGTATATCCCACTCGAAAGTAGGGTCTCGGAGGGGTAGGATGCACGAAGCAAAGGTGCGTGCAAGCAAGCAATTAGGGGCTGTTGAATTGGTTTTCCATTAAGTCCTGTATGGATAAAGTTGTCTTTGTGAATTAATCTGTCTGTATAGATTGTGAAGGTTTTTGTTTGGAACCGTTTTCTCATAGATGAAAGAAGCATGTTTTTAATTGGCAGGGGCAAGTTTGGAAAGAACTTGGTTTTCTGCATAAAGCTCCCCCCTAGAAGCTTATTGAATAAGCCATTTTCTATATTAAGGAGCTGTTTGTTTACCTCTTAATGATGCCATTAAGGGGTAAAGGTCTGAATCGATCAGACATTTTCTTGTTTGGATAGATTATGGAAAATGTCTGAATCGCTCATTCACCCTTCCACTTCCCATACAAATCAGATTGCCAATATTCCCATGCTTGCCCTCGCCTCTTCGTTTCTCTCAACTCTCCCATTCGACTCTACTCTCTCATTCATCTCGTGATTCTCCATCTGTTGGCTACAACCAGCGACTTTGGATTCGAGAATACAACAAGCGCACCATCTATCGGAACGCACCGACACACAATCTATTAGACGCACCATCTGTTGGAACGCACCGGCGCACAATCCCCAAATCAACGATTCTCCCCACATTGCTACATCCAATCTCTTTGATTATTTTGGTTTCACTTGCTGATAAGTTTCAAGCTGCTTAACCAAATAAAAACCTAATTGATAGTTCTGCACTTCTGCCTTGCTGGAATGCAATCACATGTTATTTTTTTAACAGTACGCTTGCTCTCTTTATAATGAATCCATTGTTTGTGAAAATTTTAGCAGGCTTGCTCTCACATATTATTTTCTTAACAGTAGACTTATAAGCTATCCATTGTTTGTGTCAAGTTTAGACAAATCTATTGTGTTTTTTTGGGTGAAAATTTGAAATACATTGATATGTATTATATTGTGACAATGTTACTAATCCTTATCGAACTACCTAGTTCTTCAAATACTTCATGCAAAAAACTTGGGGTTTGAACTTTGAATCCTAAAATAGCCTTGTCAACGCATTGTTAAACTACCTATTATTAGGAGATATATTTACTAAGATATGATTCGAGTGTTTTCTAACATGTAATGTTCTTATCTTTGAGAAATAAGCAACAAATGAGTGGTCATGGTTCTTTCCCAATAACATCATAAACCATATTGTTTTGAGAGAATTGTGATTCACATACTATCTTACCCACTAAAAATGACCTGTTATTGTAGGGATTCAATAATCTCCTTGCCATATCTTTACAGAATCCAAACAAATTCACATGACTTTATCTGTATATAAAGTTTTGCATTGAATGATAAGTATTCTACTTTAAAGTGAAAATGCAATCAAGTACCCTCAAAACTTTTAATATTTTTGTTATTGGTAATTTGATAATGGTGTAGATTATAGCAAGCATTAGTCCCATCGATAGCTTTTACTTCTGATGATAGAATGCTTTTGATAGCTTCTACTTTGGATCGGGAATTTATAAGAGATTTGTTCTATGTGGTCATTTGTTAGGATTTCAATCATGATTTGCTAAATGTTGTTATTTGTAAGGTATGGACATTTTGGTGAGGGTTCACAACCAAAAAAGACGTAGAATAAACTGGAAGAAAGAGTGTGGTGCGAACGTTTCTTGAAGCATGTATACATGAGGTCGTTATACATGGACGGGAAGGTACCAGTCTTAAGCCGAGTTCATGGAAGAATGTTGCGGAGACGCTTAAAAACAAACATAACTTCGTCGCAGATCAAAAACAAATGAAAAACCATTATGATTATTTGAAAGCAAAATACAATACATGGACGAGATTGAAAAACAAAACGGGCAACGTGTATGACCCAACAACCAACACGTTTAATCTAACTGATGAAGAATGGCAGATGGAAATTGAGGTATCTTTATAATTTTATATCATTTTTCATTTGGTATCTTCGTAATTTTATTTATATAATCTTTTTAAAACAGAGAAGCAAATATGTAGAACCAATCAGGTATACAGGACTGCTTTTTCCCGATCTTCGTGTTCAACTATTTGATGGAGTTCAAGTAACAGGAACTGAAAGTCATGGGCCATGTTCTAGTATTCCCGACATTTGCGACCCACGTTCTGATCACTCAAGTGAAAATGTTGAGGTAGTTCCTAATACTCAACAAATCCCGACCGGGACTTTAGGACAAGAGTGTGATTCTCGTCCAAGTACACAAAGCAAAAAGCGAAAAGGTAAACAAGCAAGTAACTCACAAGTTAAGGCCGTGAAAACAATTATGGAAAAGTATTTGAATGATGTGCCTGCTTGCTTGGCAAAGTTGGATGAACTTGGATGGGGAACAAATCACCCGTTGTATCACGTAACTACTTTTATCTATAGTGAGAGTGCCGATTATAGAAAAGTGTGGTTGTGTTTAAAACCGGAAAGTTGTGCGGGTTGGGTTAGAATGATAGGACAAAAGCACGGGATTGTGTAGTTGGAGCATATTATGCTTTTGAACATTGTGTTTTGATATGATGCTAGCTTTTGAATGATGTTTTGCTTTTGAACACATAACTTTTGGATGATACAACTATTAAACATGCTTTTGAATGATGTTAACTTTTGAATGAAGATGTTTCTTTGATATTATGTTAACCTTTCATCCACATTTTGTAATTTTTTCTATTTGCAAGGTGCTCCATGGATGTTGAGGAAGAATTGTTGCTTTTGTTACTTTTTTGGTTATATTTGAAACAAAAAGCTACATCAAGAATCGAAAGGATAAGAGATAACACTTTATCGTTGACCGGACATGTGTATACTCTAGAACTATTAAATGGCTCAAATACGCAATGTCTTGAGTTAATGCGTCTTTCTCGTGATTCTTATATACTACTATGCAACCATTTTAAACAAAAGAATTGGTTGCAAAGTAGTAGGAATGAAAGTGTTGAGGAGAAGATGGGATTTTTTTTTTTGACAATTATAGGTCACAATGAACGCTATAGAATGATTAAAAGAAGATTTCAACACTCAACAGAGACTATCCATAGATATTTTCGTCAAACACTGCGAACAATGATGGAATTTGCTAGAGAAGTTGTGGGAACAATGCCCAATGAAGAAACCTCCAACATAGAACGACCAAGAAATCTTAGAAGAATATTTCCGATATGTTTTCGTGTATATAACTTGCAAAATCAAAACGTAGTTAAGAAGTTCCTTATAGTTTATATTTTGTTAATAAAGGGGGCAATAGGTGCATTAGATGGGACTCTCATACATGCAATTGTGCCTGTCGATCAACAAGCTCGTTATAGGGGCAGAGGAAGAGACGAATGTTATCAAAACGTTTTAGCGATTTGTGATTTTAATATGGTATTCACTTATTTTTGGGCTGGATGAGAGGGCATAGTGCATGATGCTAGAGTTTTAAGAGAAGTTGCATTGAACCAAACTTCTGGCTTTCCACTTCTTTCGCCTGGTATTTATAACTTTTACTTAACTAGTTGTGTACTCGCGCAATGCGGCGGGAGCCGTGAATTTTAACGATTTTGAAGTTYCACTGGTTTTATAAGATAAGATTTAACGATGATATAAGTTACACTTGGTCTTTACATATTAATACAATTTGAATAAATAAGAGTTATGGTTCCAAT